GCCAAACATCAAATCGCACGTGAACAGCTCGGCTCGTTTGCCGCCATAGGCCTAAGGCAATAATCTCTCGTTGGTGGTGGGCAACTTCCTTTATAGCAAAACTGGAAGGAGACACAAATTCATTTCATGCAAAGCCTATTTATAGTCTTTTTTCTTACAAAACAACTAAAACATCGCCTACTAAACATAGACTCTTATTTTTGTTGACTTTTGAAACCATTTCACGCCTAATTCTACACAATTTCACACATAATTACGTTCTATTAATTTTAACATAACCACCACCAAATTCACATGAAGCATTTGTGTCAGCATGACAGCATCCATAGGATTAGATCCGCCGATTACCAACTTCTTATCCCCAATTTGTGTCAACAAGTTAAAGATCGCGGAAAAGAAAAGGACGCAGAGATTTACGTGGTTTCCCCGATGATCGGGACTAGTCCACGAAGAGCATAGCTCTTAGTATCAAATCTACCAGGGTTTAGTGTTTTGATGATAGTCTGCGTAGCTTAGCCCTAGAACTCGGCTGAAGCAAACTACTTATACCCTTCTACCAGAAACTCGGGTATAAGCTAATTACAAAGAAGTCCCAGAATTAATGAAAACTGTACAAACAAGTCTAATACTCCCCCTCAAGCTGAAGGCATGAAGGTCACGAATGCCAAGCTTGGACAAGAGCAAATGAAACTGTTCTGTGCCAAGAGCCTTGCGGAGAGCTATGTCGCCAGAACTGACACGTTCAGGAACAAAATAACAGTCCATCTCGACATGCTTGGTGCGCTCGTGAAACACTAGATTAGCTGCGATATGAAGAGCAGCCTGATTATCACAGTATAGAGGTGTCGGGGCTGACTGAGGAACTTGTAGTTCACCAAGAAGAAAACGGAGCCAAAGGATCTCACTGGTAGCACTTGCCATAGCACGATATTCAGCCTCCGCAGAAGAACGAGCAACAACACGTTGCTTCTTAGCACGCCAAGAGACAGGTGCCCTGCCAAGGTGAATATAATAACCTGTGGTAGAGCAGCGACTGAGCTGACAATCTGCCCAATCAGCATCACTATACGCAGTAAGATCCAAAGACCTAGAGGCAGGGGGAAAAAGACCTTGACCAGGAGCAGACTTGAGATACAGAAGCACCCTGTGAGCCGCGTCCATCTGAGCTGGGCTAGGAGACTGTACAAACTGACTGGGGAGATTCACCAAATAAGCAATGTCTGGTCTTGTGATTGTGAGATAGAGAAGACGACCAATGAGTCGGCGATAGGAGCTCACATCAACAAGACGCTCCTCCGTCGGACGAGTAAGAGTGTGATCCTGCTCCATCGGGAACCCACTGGGACGAGCAACACCCATGCCGGAATCAGCAAGGATATCAAGAGCATACTTCCGTTGACTGAGAACAATGCCGGCAGGAGAACGCGCAACTTCAATACCCAGGAAGTACTTCAGAACCCCCAAGTCTTTGATGTTGAACCGCTGATTAAGAAAGTCCTTGACCTACGTCATAACGGACAAGCTATCGCCGGTAATGACGACATCATCCACATAAATGAGAATGGCAACAAATACGCCATCAACCTGATAGAGAAAAAGGGACGGATCCGCCTTGGACATCACAAACCCGAACTCAAGGAGAGCCTCCGTAAACTTGGTATACCAATTACGGGAAACCTGACGAAGACCGTAAAGAGATTTCCAAAGACGGCAAACACGGTTATCGCCAGCCTGTGCGAAACCTTGTGGCAGCTTCATATAAACCTCCTCATCAAGATCACCGTGAAGAAATATGTTATTCACGTCAAGCTGATGTAAAGGCCAACCTTTCTTGGCAGCGACAGTCAAAAGAACACGGACAGTAACCAACTTAGCCACGGGGCAAAGGTGTCGTGAAAGTCAATCCCTTCTAACTGAGTGAAACCCTTGGCAACCAAACATGCCTTGTAGCACTCAATAGAACCATCGGGATTGAACTTTATTTTATACACCCATTTAGAATCAATAACATGTTTACCCGGAGGAAAGTCTCCAAAGTCCAAGTGCCTTGTGCTTCCAGCACGCCAGTGAGCATACTTGACAGCTTGAGCAAACGTCCGAGGCTCGTAATTATGGGACACAACAGCCAAGAAAACAGTATGCGGCTTAGAAAAACGATGGTAAGTCACAAAATTGGACATAGGAAATGAGACATGGGAGGAAGAGATATGAGGCAGACTAACCTCATAGGAGCCGAGGCGAGCAGGCGGTCGCCGGTCACAGGGGGGATTACAGCGAGGTGCTCCGTCGGGAGAGGATGCTGGCGGCAGGACATGAGGGTGACCAGCAGACGTGGAGACCCCATCCTCGATCTCCTCATGATGAGAAGTTAAGGGAGTGGACACGGTTTCCAAAGCAGGCGTGGAGGATACGTCCGGGACAGTGGTGGGAGTCTCAATGGGATCAACCAAGGGAATGCCAACCTGCTCTATGAACTCTTCATCTGCTATTAGGTGTGGAGCGTCCTGGTCGTGGTCCGCATGCATTGGAGGTGAAGACATGACAGGAGGAGTGGGTAAAGGGGACCCGGTGGATTTAAGGAGAAAAGGGAAGATATGCTCAACGAACTGTACGTCCCAAGACACCAATGTCTTCTGTGTTCGAAGATCATAAACACGATACCCCTTCTGCGTACCAGGATAACCAACAAAGCCCCCTGCCCGACCTCGTTCAGCAAGCTTGTCAAGACCATGGTGCGTGTCTTTGGTATAGACGAGGCAACCAAGCTGCGAAGGTGAGAATACGTGGGAACACGACCTAGAAGAACCTCAAAGGGGGTTTTCCAGGACAAACCCGCAGTGGGGAGCCGATTAATTAAGTACGTAGACAGTGAGTACACATTCTCCCCAGAAACGAACCGGCAACCCAGCATGAAACATGAGTGCACGAGCTGTGTCAAGCAAGTGGCGATGTTTCCGCTCGACCACTACATTTTGCTGTGGAGTGTCAGTGCACGTGGTCTGAAGCACAATCCCACTCATAATACGCACGGAGAGAGGTGGTCTGAAACTCCAGACCATTATCAGCCTGAATACGCCAAACTGCCCGACCAAACTGAGTCCTAACCAACTGACAGTGCATGAGAAGGTAACGTTCGACATCAGATTTAAACCTCATCAAGTAAACCCAAGTGGAACGACTATAGTCATCAACAATAGTCAGAAAGTAGCGTGACCCATCAATAGCGGGTGTACGATATGGCCCCCAAATATCAAGATGGATCAGATCAAAGCAACCAGTCGTCTTGATTGAGCTACTAACAAAAGGAGTTCGAGTTTGTTTAGCTCGTGAACAAGAATCACAATGAAAAGTATCCAAAAGAGCAAGTTTACAGCCGACAAAATCTTGCAAATGACTAAGTTTCTCCAAAGACGGATGGCCTAGACGAGTGTGCCACAACGTCGAAGTCGCCAATGACTGAGAAAACGCACAAACCGACCACTGCTGTGTCCTAGTCCACCGCGGCAAGTAATAAAGCCCGTCTCTAAGATGTCCCACTCCAATCAGCGTCTTGGAAGGTAAGACCTGGAGGACGCAGAAATCATGTAAGAAGGTCACCGCCACATTATGATCCTGAGGTAAACGACTAACCGACAAAAGGTTGCATTTAAAAGCAGGGACATGCAAAACATTGGTAAGGTGAACCGAATCAAGTACGATCCCCTGTCCTTGATCGGAACCCCTGTCCCATCTGGAATCTGCACATGTGAATGAGTATACGACCCATCGACGGAATCCATCCAACTAATGTCACGTACGATGTGCTCATTGCACCCAAAGTCTAGTAACCACATGTCAAGTTCAAGAGAATTACCCGCCATATGCGCTGTCGGGGCAGAAGGAGACTCGAAGGTGGAGGAAGCCAAAAATTCCTTCAACTGGGCAAGTTGAGCAATGGACAGCCCAGGGATCAGAGATGTTGCTTCGGGCTCCACATGAGCAGCCTTTGATTTACGAGCAGAGGCTGGGCGCTCCTCACAAGACTTAGCACGCGGATGTCCAGCTGGGTAGCCAATGAGACGATAGCAAGTCTCTTTGGAATGCTCCAATTTATTTCAATGGGAGCATCATACCCGCTCGCGATCATCACGTGAGTCATTATCATGTTGATCCTTTTTAGTCTGAGCTTGGAAGACAATGGTTTCCACAACCGGACGACGAGAACTAGTGATGACACGGTGCTGTTCCTCGGCCAATACCATCTTATAGGCATCTGCAATTGTGGGAATGGGCTTAGTGCTCAAAATTTGTAAGCGCACCACCGAGTAGGCTTCATCAAGTCCCAACAAAAATTCAAAGAGGCGCTCTATGTCAAGCTGTGTTTGAAGATGACGAGCCCAATCACACGAACAGCCGCCGCAGGTACAACCACCAGAAGCTCCCCCTATCGCCTGCATCTCATCCCAGACGGAGCGAAGCTTGGTATAGAAAGTCGATACCGAGAGTTTGTCTTGCCGAAGTGTACTGAGCTGACGACGAAGCTCATAGGCTCGCTGCGAGGAGCCTTTAGTGAAACGGCGTTGCAGATCGGCCCAGATGGCCCTCGCCGCCGTCGCACTGCGGACGTTGTTGCGCACCTCGCGCATCATTGCTGTTTTGAACCACCCTTTCACAGTCACATCGCAGCGATCCCAAGCTGCCTGACGCGTTGGGGAACCAGCTTCGGTGCGAGGGAAAGAGCCATCCACGAACTCCAGTTTATTCTTGGCGATAAGGGTCTCTGTTAATTCATTCACCCATTGTCCATAATTGGAGTTGTTGAGAAGATCACTGCCAAAGAGCTGAGCAGGGTTCTCGGACGGGTGCAAATAGAGGGGAGAGCTGATCGGGATTATACCATTATCGAGAGAGCTCGCTGGCTTGCCGTCGCTGGTCTCCTCACCTTGCTTGTCCTTGTCCATGATGAAGGGGTGAAAACGGGGTGAATCTTATTGCTCTGATACCATGTGAACAAGTTAAAGATCGCGGAAAAGAAAAGGACGCAAAGATTTACGTGGTTTCCCCAATGATCGGGACTAGTCCACAGAGAGCATAGCTCTTAGTATCAAATCTACTATGGTTTAGTGTTTTGATGATAGTCTACGTAGCTTAGCCCTAGAACTCGGCTGAAGCAAACTACTTATACCCTGCTACCAGAAACTCGGGTATAAGCTAATTACAAAGAAGTCCCATAATTAATGAAAACTGTACAAACAAGTCTAATATTTTGTTCAGGCTATGACATCTTCATCCGATTCTTCGAGCACCATACGGAAAATATAAGACCATTCGTCATCGTCGTCCTCATACTCTGCAAAACGGGGGCAAAAAACCAAATCAAGTAATTAAGGTGGAGTTCCATCTGAGATTTTAGTCTGGTGACCCATGAATACGATTTCATTTCCTAACTTACCGTGATCAGATATCTCCACCATTTCCGTCACAGGGAGATGCTTACATCTCACTGTCTGGAGCAGAGGAGCACTGGCCATGAGGCTGCGGAGATACTCGTCACTAAGGCATATCCCCGACAGCTTTAGTATCTCGAGAGATGGCAACAACTTGGAGATGAATTCCTCGTGATCCCGCCTCGCAAATTGCTTGAACAGACTGCTGATCACCAGAGATTTGAGATTCGGAGCTGAAGCTGACGATGATGCTCTTAACCTACACGATTTGTCGACGTGCAGGACCAAACTCTGTAAGAATGGCGCTGCAGTAAGCTGGAGTTCCCATCTTGAACCCGAATCGATGCGAAGGGTTTTCAATTTGGGGAAGTTGCGAACCGCGACCTCCAGCCTCTTCAATCCAAGACATCGCGTCAGAGTCAGGGACTCGAGATTGGGAGCATTACCGAAGACGACATTGTGGAGCAATTGTTCGGTGACATGGACGTATTCGAGATCGAGAACCTGGAGAGAAAACAGAGAAACCGCTCCCATTCTATTCAAGTTGCAATCTTTGAGCTTGAGAACTTTCGTGCGGCTGCAATTGGAGAAGGACCCCGCCGGGAACCTGTAGGAGCTGTTGATTCCGAATCTGATCGCGACCTCGAGCGGGGATCCGTAGCCGGCGCCGCCACCGCCCAACGCCGCGGCTAGCAACGTGCGGAGGTCGTTACTCAGGATCTGGAGATCGGCGGAATCGAGAGTTTCCAGTGAGAGCCTCAGTGAATCCAGCGGCGCCTTGCAGTTCTCGTGGAACAGAGAAATCCTGCGGGCCGACGCGGCGGCGAATTCGGCGAACTTGGTGGTGGACTTGTCGTCGACCTCCAGCACCGGGTAAGTTCGCCAGAGATGGAGCCATCTTCGGGACAACGAGCTGGTTCTCGCGACTTGGCCCGGGTCGTTCAAAAGGAACAGGATGGTGTGTATGATCTCGTCCGGCAGTGCTGATATTCGGTCCGAATCGCCGGCGGCGAGTGGTGGTCTCTCGTCCATCTCTCTCTCTCTCTGTTCGCTTACTCAAAGTCTGGAACTTGAGAAGCGATTGATCAATCCAGCTGAATATAACAAAGAATCGGGCAATTGACCAATTGTCAGTCCACGGTAAGCATTTCTTTGCTTAATGAACTATCCTTCTCTCGATTTTTTACGTTATCACTTGAGGTAAGAGTGGCAAAATGATCATTCGCCTGAAATGGGGTTTCCGCCGGATGGATCCAAAGTGTTTTCAATTATTAAATTGTGAAGCTCAAGGACCTTGTTAGGTTATCCAAATATTTTGCACATTATCAAGTTGGGAAGTCTAGTTGTTATTGTAGTTAGTTGACTTTGCTCCCCTGTTTTCCCACCTGCTCTTGCTATGCTCCCCTGTTTTACTCATCAGGGTAACCATCACACGGTTTGTTTTAGTGCCTAATCACGGATTAAATCCTATGTTTTGAGAACCGAACCGGACCGGATGTTAAACCGAAAAAATAGTGGTTAACCGTTACAAAAACGTGGGTTAACCGTTCATAGAACCGTTCATAACATACAAGACTTGTATAATACACTAATTTAAGAATAGAGTTATCATATAAATAATTTCAAATTCATATCATCACTAAAATATCATGGTCCAGGAAACCGGATCGTACCGGTCGGTTCAACCGGTTCAGCCGGAAACCTGGCCAATAACGGAACGGTAGGCATTTGCTGCCAGAAATACCATGCCGGCCGGTTTTGGCGGTGCAACCGGCACGAAGCGGAATGCCGCCCGGTTTTGTTCCAACCGGCGGTGGTCTGTTTTCAAAGGACGTTGTTTATTAAACAAAAAATTTAAAAATAAAAAACAAAAATCTTGTCCAAAATCAATTGCAAGCCAACCCTAATCCCTAACACGATTCACGAATCGAAGAAGCTTTCTTCTCCTCTCCAGTTCTCAACTCGCCGATGCTCCTCTTCTCCAGCTCACCCCTATATTTGGATTCTGGAGTCTGGCGATCGGTGATGGCAGCAAAACGGCGAGCTTGGCTGCCCGAGAACGTCGCCGACTCTCCTTCCCCTGGCTCGACCGTCGTTCGTCTGCTCCAGCCAGCCCTGCCTCTGGCGACCACGAGGAGTACGAGATCGAGAAACTCCACCGAGTCTCCCTCCCCTGGCCAAACCGCCCTTCGTCGTCTCTGTTCGCCGGAGCCATCGAGTCTCCATCCCCTGTCTCGAGTCTCGACCGTCCTTCGTGGCTTCGTCTTCTCCGGTTCAACTCAGCCCTTCTCAACAACATCAGAATCATCACCAAGGACATCATAACTCCATTCAACAACATCTTAATCGTCTTCTCCAATTCAGCTCCCTCCCCTAATAACAGATAACTCAAGAAGGTTAGTGTTATTAGGGATAAATAAACGTGTGTGTTTACTTGTACATTAAGTTACTTACTCCTAGTCCTTGTTGTATTGTATCTCCTGTACTCATGGGTATAAATACCCTTCTCTCAATAATACTAGACACACGATTTACCCAAACCTTACATGGTATCAGAGCTGGCTTTCCAACCCTAGTTTTTTTTTTTTCGGCCGAAGCTCACGTTCTCCTTCCGCCGTGCCTCTCTGTCTGCTGCGATGTCTGGAATCAGTACCGCTTCCTCTGGTTTTTCCGGTGATACCGGCTCCGGTGGTGCTGGTGGAGAGGCTCCTCTGGTCACGTTCAATCCAGCTGCCTCTCTTCCGCTCAAACTCACTGCCAACAATTTCCCATCCTGGCGAGCTCAGCTTTTGTCTCTCATGGCTGGCCTCGATCTCATGGGTTATCTCGACGGCTCTGTTCCTGCCCCGGCTGCTATGCTCACAGTCGATGGCGTTACCTCCCGCAATCCTGCTCATACTCGTTGGTATCGTCAGGACCAACTGCTTCTGAATGGGATTTTTGCGTCTGTTTCTGAGGGAGTGCTTCCCTTCATCAGCTCAGCGGCCAACTCTCACGTCGCATGGGCGACTCTTCAGCGGCTCTACGCCGGCTCGTCGCAGTCACGAGTCATGACCCTCCGCGATCGCTTATACGCTGAGACCAAAGGCGATCGAGATGTGGTCTCGTTTGTTCAGCAGCTTCGTACCCACGCTACGGAGCTTGCTCTTGCTGGGGCTCCTGTCACTGATGCTGAGCTTGTTACGCTCTGCCTGCGAGGCCTTGGGCCTGACTACCGCGAATTCTCTGCTGCCATTCGCGCTCGTGAGGTTATTCCTCCTCTCGAGGACCTTCTCGACCGACTGGTCTCTCTCGAAGCTGATCTTCGCGCTACAAAACCATCCGCCGACTCTCCAGCCACTGCCTTTGCCACTCAACGTGGCCGTGGTCGCGGCCGTCACGGTGGTTCTACTGGGCGTGGCTCGGGTCGCTCGGCCTCCTCGTCCCGCTCTGTCTCGCCTGGTGCGTGGGACTCCTCACGTGGAGATGAAGAACGCCGCCCAGCTCGTGTTATTTGCCAATTATGCGAGAAGCCCGGGCACTCGGTTCGGCAGTGTTATCAGCTCTTCCCTCACAAACGCCCGCAAGCTAACTCCACAACAACTGCCGCCAGTTCCTCTCGTGCTTCAGCTCCGCCTGCTGAACCGTGGCTTGTTGATTCAGCGGCAACTCATCATGTCACTCATGATCTTGGGAACTTAGCCCTCTATTCGGACTACAATGGTCCTGATGAAGTCTATCTTGGCGACGGTACAGGTTTGGCCATCACACATATTGGTTCCTCTTCTCTTCCGACCTCTGATCGTCGATTGCGTCTTGACAATATTTTATGTGTGCCTGGCTTTCGTAAGCGTCTGCTTTCTGTTGCTAAACTTTGTCGATCTAACCCAGTCTCGGTGGAATTTTTTGCTCATTCTTTTGTTGTGAAGGATCTAAGAACGGGGGCGGTGCTGCTGACCGGAAGGAACAACGGTGATACGTATGAACTTGGTGGTGGTGCTCGAGCTGCTCGGTTTGCGTTGGTTACTACTCGCAACACTCCTGATCTCTGGCACTGCCGTCTAGGACATCCGTCTGCTCGTGCCATGTCTAGTCTTATTCGTGTTAATGCTCTTCCTGTTATTAAGTCGGCTCTTTCTTCGTGTGATTCATGTCTTTGTTCTAAAAGTCATAAACTTCCTTTTAGCTTGTCGAGTCTTACTAGTTCCCGTCCTTTGGACTTGTTGTTTTCGGATGTTTGGGGTCCTGCCCCTGTTAATTCAGTCGATGGTTATTCTTACTATCTTGTTCTCGTCGATCATTTTACTCGTTACACTTGGCTGTACCCACTTCGTCGCAAGTCTGATGTCCTCTCTGTGTTTGTTGCCTTCAAAAGTCTGGTTGAAAACTACTTTTCCACTACTATTCGGCGGCTTTATACTGATGGAGGAGGTGAGTTTCAAAAACTACGCCACGAATTGACCGCTCATGGAATTACACATCTTTTAACTCCTCCATACACTCCTGAGCACAACGGTCTCTCCGAGCGTAAGCATCGCCATATTGTTGAAACTGGCCTCACCCTCCTCCATCGTGCCCGTCTTCCACTCACCTACTGGTCGTATGCCTTTTCCACTGCTGTGTATCTTATCAATCGTCTTCCTTCGTCTTCTCTGCGTGGTCAGGTTCCTTTCACTGTTCTCTTCAATGAACCTCCCAATTACTCCAAATTACGTGTTTTTGGCTGTCGTTGTTACCCTTGGCTTCGACCTTATTCAGCTCACAAACTCCAGTCTCGGTCTCGTCCTTGTGTCTTCCTAGGATACTCTCATCAACAGAGTGCCTATCGCTGTCTTGACCCAACCACACAACGTCTTTTCCTGTCTCGACATGTTGTTTTCGTTGAAACAGACTTCCCAGGTGTCTCTTCCTCCTCGGTGTCAAGTTTAGTCAATCCCGCTTCGTCTCCTTCCTCCTGGCTCGCGGCCTTTCTTCCCGCCGTGTCTCTAGTACCTAACCAGCCAGCACCACTGCCTGTCTCTTCCTCCTCGGTACAGCAGCCCACCTCGCCTTCACACACAGTCACCGAGACGGGCACGAGCACTGGCTCCTCCTCGTCACCTCCTGTGACTGCTGCCACTCAGTCAGATGCTGCTACTCGGCCAGCTCCGCCGCCGCATCATATGGTTACTCGCGGTAAGAATAATATAAGGAAGCCTAATCCTAAATATGCTAACGTGACACAGATGCAGGACTCCTCTCCCCCTCCCCTGGAGCCTAAATCTGTGAAGGAAGCCCTTCGCTTTATTGAGTGGCGCCGGGCCATGGCTTCTGAAAACTCGGCTCTCTGTGCGAACTACACTTGGGATCTTGTCCCTCGACAGCCTCATTTCAACGTGGTTGGGTGTCGCTGGGTGTTTCGTGTTAAATTTCGTCCCGATGGGTCGATTGAGCGGTTCCGCGCTCGTCTCGTGGCTAAAGGTTTTCATCAACGTCCGGGAGTTGACTTTCATGAAACCTACAACCCTGTTCTCAAGCCAGTGACAATTCGGACAGTCTTCACCATTGCTCTCTCTCACTCCTGGCCTATATTTCAGTTTGATGTTAATAATGCGTTCATTCAAGGACCGCTACAGGAGGAAGTTTATATGTCTCAACCACCCGGCTTTCATGATCCGCAGTTCCCTGACCATGTTTGTCGCCTTCGTAAAGCCATTTATGGTCTTCGCCAAGCTCCGCGGGCATGGTATGATGCGTTGAGCTCTTTTCTCATTTCGTGTGGCTTCGTGAAGACAAGCTCCGATGCATCTCTCTTTGTCTATTGCCACGGTGGAGTTCTTGCCTATTTCTTGATGTATGTTGATGATCTGCTTCTCACCGGCAATGACTCCCGCTTTCTTGCTTCCTTTCGTCGTCAGCTCGCTGATCGGTTCTCTCTTAAGCACCTCGGCCATGTCAATTTTTTCCTTGGAATTGAGGTGCTTTCCACGGCAACAGGCTTTGTTCTATCTCAACACAAGTATGTTGTTGACTTGCTCACTCGTTTTCAGATGCATGAAGCTAATCCGTGCTCCACTCCACTGTCCTCCACTGCTCGACTTTGTCTCTCTGATGGGTCATCTTCGGCGGATGCTACTCTATATCGTCAGGCTGTTGGTGCCTTGCAGTACCTCGTCGCCACCCGACCTGATGTTGCCTTTGCCGTGAATCGGCTGTCTCAGTTCATGCATGCACCTACGGCTGTGCATTGGCAGTATGTCAAGCGTTTGCTCCGGTACGTTGCTGGTACTCGCACTCTTGGTCTACGAATCACTCGCAATCAGCTGCCGTTCTCTCTTCGTGTGTTTACTGATTCTGACTGGGCTGGTGACCCTGATGATCGCACGTCGACATCTGGCTTCTTGATCTACCTTGGCGATACTCTTGTTTCCTGGAAGTCCAAGAAACAGCGGACGGTTGCCCGTTCCAGTACTGAAGCGGAGTACCGTGCGCTGGCCCTGGCCACCTCAGAGGTTCAGTGGCTTCGTAATTTGCTCACCGAGCTTCACCAGCCTCTCACTGCGTCTCCAGTCGTCTTCTGTGACAACTTGGGTGCTGTCCATTTTAGCTCAAATCCGGTGTTCCACTCCCGTATGAAACACCTAGCTTTGGACTTTCATTTCGTGCGTCAGTTGGTCCAGTCTAAGCAGTTGGTCGTTCGGCATCTTCCCACGGCGTCTCAGCTTGCTGATTTGCTCACCAAACCGCTTCCGCGTACTCGTTTTCTTCTGCTACGGTCCAAGATTGGGCTTGCTGACGCCGCCTCCATCTTGCGGGGGCGTATTAGGGATAAATAAACGTGTGTGTTTACTTGTACATTAAGTTACTTACTCCTAGTCCTTGTTGTATTGTATCTCCTGTACTCATGGGTATAAATACCCTTCTCTCAATAATACTAGACACACGATTTACCCAAACCTTACAAGTGTTATCGCCTAGGGATTTTGAATTTGTCTGCCGAAGTTCATGATAAGCCTCGTTTAGCGATTTTGAGTTTTGATTATTTGATTTTGATGGGTTTTAACTACCAATTGAGAACGGGAAGAATTGGGGTATCATCTTGATTGATATTCCATTCAATGTTAATGTATAATTTGTTAATTCAATGGCAGCTCTGTTATTGTATAATTCATTAATCTGTCAATTTGTTATTGTATACTTACTGCCCGGGGAAGGAAATATGTAGGTTGAATTATGGTGTTTGTGGCTGGAATTCTGTTTGTTATTTAGGTTTGTTATCCGACATATTCCAGTTCCCTTCCGGTATTACTCCGAAATAGTATTCTGAGTTGCCGATACGGTTTTTTAATAAAAAAATATTTTTTTATTACTAAAACGGTATTTTACCGGTACACAACGGTTGAACCACGGTAGTACCACAAAATACCCTACCACTGGCGGAGCCGGTATGACTTCCGGTACGGTTTCCTTTACCATGTAAAATATCTAACAAATCATTCAAAACGGTCTAAAAAAAATCTTAATTTTTTAAATCAAGTAAAAAATTCTGGTGCCAATCGGTAGTGGATTATGCAAAGTCGACAATGAGGTTGGATGGTCTTAGTTTACTATAAAGTATTTTCTTTTAAATTGTGGTTAAAATATTGAACCAGTAGATCAGTTAAACCGTAGTGGTTCATCTGATTTTATGTTGAACCTTGAGAAATCGTTTGATCCATCAATAACCGTCTAAGTAATGGATCAAACCGCTTTCGTGGTTTGATGGTTGTACTGTTGATCCGGTGCGGATTAAATCTCTTGATTCTTGAATCAATTGCTGGGAAATTGTTTTGGGCCATCTATGGGTTGGCGTTTGTCGTTGAAAAAGACAACCAAACTCAAGCTGGGCATGGGCGAGGCCCAAAGACAGCAATGACAACAGTCATTTGGGCCTTTCTTTTTGGCTATTCCCCTTTGCCGAGAGCTGATGATAAGAAAGTATAAAGAAACCAATAGAAAGAAGGAAAAAAATTCTTCACTGTCCTCTCTGTTGTTCTTCTTCGTCTCCATTCCAACAATGATGTACTGGGTTCTTCCGATGGCCGAGCGCAGAACTCGCCGGCGGCTCCCGGAGAGATTCCTTTCGACAATTTTGACGTTACGGCCAAGAAGTTCGCCGCCGATGAGTTTTGGAATTCCGGTCGTTCCGGCTGGGCCCCTTCCGTCGGGGATGAAAAAGCGGAATATAAAATATAACAATCGGTGAGCGATTGTCAATAATCCAGACTCCATGTAAGCAGTTCTTCGCCTGAGTATTTTAATAGATTATCTTCTCAACATTAGTTTTTTTTTACATCATCGCATGATTAGGAGTGTGGCAAATGATCATTCGCCTGAAACATTTATCCACCGGATGGAATTCGAAGCCGTGCCAATTAGGAAACAGTAAGACCTTGTTTGTTAGCAGTAGCTCAAATGAGGCTGTGTCCACGTATCTAGATCCTTAATTTTTGTTTATTCAGAGGGTTGTTGTAGTCAGTTGATTTTGACGCCCAAGGATAGCGAAAGCTTTAGCCTTTAGGAGGATCCCGTTTCAGCAGTTTCGGGTTGCATTAAAAATCATGGAGAAATATAATATGTTTTGGTTCGTTGAAATTTCTTACCAGTAGTTATGTTCTAGCTCAAATCTCTCTGACTGCTGATCGCTTGCTTGCTCTCCTTCTCTGGCTTCTTGCACCCTTGATTTTTCTTTGTTCCCTCGCTCTTGAGTTAGCCCACTTCTGCTTCTGCTTTGCTCTAGATGGCTGAAACCATTCTGATCCCGGTTGCTAAACAGATCCTTGGCAAGGCAGCCGACTTGGCCTTGGAGCAGATTGGACTCCTGTGGAACTTCAGACGCGAGCTTCGCAAACTGAAAGACACCGTGTCCACCATACAGGCTGTGCTTCGTGATGCTGAAGAGAAGCAGTTCCACAACCACCAAGTCAAGCTCTGGCTCGAGAAGCTCTCTGACGTGATGTATGATGCCGATGATCTGCTAGACGATCTCTCTACGGAGGCTCGTCGAAAAGTGATAGCAGAAGAAAATAATTCCTCTACTCCTAATACTACTTGTTGGAGTATGGTATGCTTTCTGTTCTCTTCACTTCCCAAGCAGTTGCTGTATGATCTTAGCATGGCTCATGCTGTCAGGGCTATTAGGGAGAAGCTTGATCTAATATCGCAAGATAAGGAGACCTTCAATTTGGAAGTTCGTTCCGAGGAAGTTCTTCCTTTCAGGGAGACGGATTCCTGCCCGCCCACGATTGTCGTTGGGAGGGAGAATGACAAGAAAAATATCATTCAGATACTGCTGAATTTCAACTCTGAAGCTAATATTTCTGTTGTCCCCATCGTTGGGATGGGCGGACTGGGGAAGACTACTCTTGCTCAGCTTGTATTTGATGATGGACAAGTTGAAGCTCACTTTGATATCAAAGTTTGGGTGTATGTTTCACAGAGCTTTGAAATCAAAGTGATTCTTAGAAAGATGCTCCGATCAGTAGGCTGGGAAAGTCAGGCGGGTCTTGAGTTGGATGAATTGCAATCTCAACTCAGAGGAAAGATCAAAGGCAAGAGGTTCTTGTTTGTATTAGATGATGTTTGGGAGGAGAACATTGAAAGTTGGGAACTTTTGGGAAAATACTTGGTAGTCGGTGCCCCTGGCAGCAAGGTGTTGGTGACTACTCGATCGACAAGAGTGGCAGAGGTCGGTGGTGGAACTCTGAAGTCTGAGACAAGTACCGGCAATGTGGTACCCTATCTCTTGCAAGGCTTGTCAATTGACGAGTCCTGGAATTTGTTTGTGAAAAAGGCTCTTAATGGCAAAGCCCCACGAAACCCTGCTGCTGAAAAGACCGGGAGACTGATATTGGGGAAATGTGGTGGAGTTCCTCTTGCAATCGGTACGATATCCGGTATATTAAGATCCAAAAATCCAGATTTTGAGTGGCAGTTATTTTTACAAGATGAATTCGAAAGCACATCCAAAGATGAGAATGCTATTGTCTCAACTCTCAAACTGAGTTTTGATCATCTTCCTTCCCACATGAAGAAGTGCTTTACTTATTGTAAATTGTTTCCCAAGGGTCACAAATTCGATGTTCCCTTGTTGGTTCAACTTTGGGTCTCCCAAGGGTACGTTGAGTCAGAAGATACGAGCTTAAGTTGCTTCAGAACGTTATGGCGGAGGTCGTTCTTCCAAGACGTGGAGATGGATGAGTTTGGGAATATGTCGACATGTGGAATGCATGATTTGATCCATGATTTAGCAGACTCGGTGGCAGGAGAAAAGATCCTAAGAATCACTAGCTCAAGTGCTCTGAAAAATATTCCTTCAAACACACGTCACTTGGCTTTCTTTGAAGAAGATAGGGATGGCTTGAGAGAAGAGACCGATGGTGGTGGTGATGATGCGTTAGGAAATGCAAGCAGGGTGCGAACTCTTATATGTTGCAAATCTATATGGGGAGAAGAATGGGAGCAAATCCTCCTCGGCTTCAGATGCTTGCGAGTCCTGATTATGCTTGAAGAAAGATCAGGGTCAGATGCCACAACACAGTTGCACTTTGTTGGCAAGCTGAAGCACTTAAGGTATCTTGGTTTCAATTGCTATGGAATGGATAGGATTCCAGCTTCAGTTACTAACTTGCCTAATCTACAAGTTCTTAAGCTCAAATCTTCCTACTCACTAAAAGAACTACCGAGGGATTTTAAGAAGCTTGTTAGCTTGAAGCATCTTGATTTCAACCCTCAATATTCGGAATCTTTTATTACCCATATGCCAAAAGGGATTGGGGTAGCATTGGATGAGTTGCAAGAGTTGAACGCTTTGCGTGGAAAGTTGATCGTTAAAAACTTGACAAAGGCAGAACCTTCAGGGGCGGGTATTAATGTCTTGACGGAGAAGCTACGTCTTCAGTCGCTTGTTTTAGATTGGAGTCGAGATGATGACAACCATGACAATGTTGACGATGCTGTTCCTAGAGCTACTCATGATGAAGAGATACTGGAAATGCTCTGTCCCCATCCTAATCTAAAGAAATTGATGATACGTGGTAGTGGTTATGAAGGCGTGAAGCTCTGCAACTGGCTGTCTGGCCTCGTGTATCTGGTTGAATTCTCTCTAAAAGATTGCAAGCAATGCAAGTACCTCCCCTCGTTGCATCTGATGCCATGTTTGGCAAAACTCATAATTGAAAACTGTCCACAATTGGAGGGAATCGTTGATAATGGAGGCAGGGGAGATAATAGTGTTTCTTCGCCACACAACTCACTAACAACGGAGAAAGAGGATGACAAGTGGCCTAGATTCCCCTGTCTTACGTACCTCTACATTAAGGGTTGCCCGAAGCTAACTCGGTTGCCCACTTTCCCAACTGTTGAAGTGAGCTGGAGCTGTCCAGAGCTAGCTTGGAACCATTAAGGAGGACAATGAAGCTGACGAGAAATGGAGAGGAAGTTGTAGATTGTTCAGATGAATACACCACCAAATATGACACTGATGATACATATATTCCTCGTCTTCTTCCTTGTCTTTCTGCATCTCCCTTCATCCGGCCGCTCTCTAAGCTGACCAAGCTGACCTTAACAAAAATCGATGACGATCTTGAATCCCTACCAGATGAAGATTTCAAGAGTAATCTCATCTCTTTTCATTTTTCAAGAGTTGTGGCTCTATGACTGTTGTCGAGGTGTGAAGCTACCCAGGTCGTTGTGTTCCGGAACGAGCCTCAGGAAGATCGATTTACGATGGTGTGAGAGGCTAGAGTACCTGCCACCCTTACACAAGCTCCCATCTCTCATGGACATATATATTCTGTCCTGTCTCAAACTAAAGGGATGTTGGTGGGAGAAGAAGGAAGATGAGGAGGAGTGGCCCCATTTCCCTTGTCTTTCCAGCTTGAAAATAATGGAACTGCCCAAGCTTGTCTCGCATTCCTCTGTTTCCAACCGTTAAAGACAACTTGATCCTGGGCAAGATGAGCTCAGAGGCACTAGTGCGGACAATGAAGATGAAAGAGGTGACATCTACTCCAACTGCTCTTGTCACCCCGCTCTCCATGTTGAGGCGTTCGTCTCTCTGGGATATGGATGACCTGGAATCTCTACCAGAAGAAGGCCTGCGCAACCTCAGCTCCCTTCAAGCTATGGATATTAGGAACTGTAGAAGATTAGCATCTCTTCCTCCAGCAATGCAATAACCTCATCTGCTTACAAACATTGCGTATTTGGAAGTGTCCGCAATTGAAGAAAAGATGCAGAAAGGGAGAGGGTGAAGATTGGCCCAACATTTCCCACATCCGATATATAGAACTGGACGGAAATACAATCCACTTTTCAGGTTGATAGGTGTGATGGCTAAATGGATGATGGATGCATTTGAAGAATGTATGTGAGGTCACTTCTATAGCTCTGTTATTTGTATTATATACTTTTCTGTCTGCTTCCTTTCTCAATGTAGAAAGCTTGATGCTGTACTGATAAAGCTCTTTTGCACTTGTAACAAAAATTGATAATGATCATCTCCCTTCCTCTGCTACTACCATTTTATGTCTCAGTGCGCATCCGCGGAATTGGTTAGTTTCATCCTCCACTTTTGCTGACAAGTTACTGGTTTCTCCCGTTGTGCAGGTGAGAGAGAAAACTGATGATTAGTGCATGATGAACAAAAACTATGTGATATTTCTGTTGGGGGAAAAATTGAAAAGAGTAGCCAGCTGGGCCATCAACTCGTAAAAATAAAAACGAATAAGTCCTCTTTGTCAAATCTCCATTCTGTCAGTTGGGTGCCTAGTTTCAGTTCTTGCTTCTGGTCATAATGCTTCTCTTATGATGAAACAATGACCCTTTGGTTCAAGAAGGCCGCAAAAATATTGAAACAAGGTTTTTTTTTTTTTTTGGTTATCTTCAGCTCATCAGTTATGGAAGTTTGTAACTTTGTCTGACATAACCAAGAGTGAAGATGCCCAGGATATTATGGCCTGAGATTCCTCTTGGGCCTAGCCCACGAATTTGGGCATTTTTTGCAAGTAATCCGCGCCGAGAAACTGAAACCAAGATTGACAAAGAAAAGAGAAACTGAAGCCAAAGAAAAAGAAAAAGAAACCGCGGCAAAAACAAGAGATTGTAGGCTAATTACAGTTTAATCCCTCAAAAAGCTAATATGAATATTTCAGTCCCAATAGAATGTAAATACTAAATACAGAACTTTTTGGGGGGCCAGCCAGCGTAAGACAAACTGCCAAAAAAAATATTTTTCGGAGTTGGCGCCATTTTAGTTTCCCGCTCCCCCATTACCCCGAGGATTCCTCCCAATCTTCTTCCCCGTTTAGAAAAACCCTAAAAAAGTTCACTCCCATCTTCCTCTTCCTCCCCCTCGCTATCAATCAACAAGCCTCTTAATATTATTCGCCGGCGCATACTTCCCGGCGGCGGCTAGATGTTCTACTCGCAGACGTTTTTGGCGCGGAAGGGCCCGCTGGGGACGGTCTGGTGCGCCGCTCATCTTCAGCACAGGCTCAAGAAATCACATTATACTTCCACCGATATCATAGCCGTCGTCGGTAATATCATCTCTCTTCACTCTAAAATTCCCTCGTTTGTTTTTTCCTTCTTCGTCAGTGAATAAAGCTCACTACTTTCAGTACTTTGCCTTTTGTTATCTTGATTTCCCCTGTGTTAAGGGGGAAAAGAATCTTGCTTTGTTTGATTCTAGTAGTTTGGGGTTTTTTCTTTTGTGGACTGTAGAACGCATAATGTACCCAGAAGTGCCGATTGCGCTTCGGATGTCGGGCCACCTTTTGCTAGGGGTTGCGAGGATCTACTCCAAGAAAGTTGATTATCTATTTCAGGACTGTAATTTGATGAAGGTTAGCTTGAGGAATGCCTTCACCATCACAGTAGACATTAATCTGCCAGAGAATGCCAAAACAGCCAAGCCGGATTCAGTCACTTTGACCCGAACATTTGACCTCGATTCATTGAAGATGGACGATGACATTTACAATATTGATGGGTAAATGATTGAATTTTTAACAAGATTGAAACTTCTTCCTTTTCCCCTTGTCTTGGTTTTGCTTCTTGATTGCTTTTTCTTTAGTAGGTCACCTGATAGCCATTGCAAAACTCGAGAGGAAATCACGTTGGACGATCAAATTCCTACGGGGAGAGAGCCGTTTTTTGCTGTAACTTTCGACGAGGTTAGTTGTTGTTGGTCTGGAAAACTGTTGGCGTTGGATTACACCTAGAATTGCTGGAGTGTTGATGAAGAATTGATGCTTCTGCACAGGACATCACAATGGATGATACTTCACAACAAGACCTAGCTCGTGATTTAGGAGTTAGACCAGTAGTGGAAGAGTATGCTCCTAATTATATTTGGAACTCATTCTACTTCGTTTTAGTAATGACTGGTTAGTCATTCTGATGCCTGGTTTTTTTCTCAATTCTCAGCGCCGATCGTGATGTAAACAACCAAAACCACGAAGGAGGTGGACCAAGCAATGATACAGAAATTCTTACTGAACCTGCAGAATTGGGGGATGTCGGTCCTAGCAATGATACAGAAATGCTTACTGAACCTGCAGAGTTTGGAGATGCCGGTCCAAGCAATCAAACCGAAGTGCTCACTCAAGCAACCGGATTGCAGGATCCTGGGCCAAGCAATCACACAGAAGTGCTCACCGGATCAGCAGCATTATCACAGGGCACTGGCATAAGGGATCGTACTATGATAGATGATGTACTTACTGAGAATGTGGAACCTAGTCCAGTTGAAAAAATTCGTGATGCTCGTGATTTTAGTCCAAGAAGAGCACCACTTGTGTCTCCAAATGTGGAAAAGGATGATGGTGCTGATCGAAACCGGCTTCCAGAACAAGATGTGCTTGAGAGTGGGATAAATATTCGGATTCCAGAAGAACCTTCCTCTTCTGGAGTACATTCTTTTCGACTTAGGCCACACTCAGAACCTCCTACCTCTGCTGTCTCTGGAGGATCGAGACTAATCTTTGATGAAAATATGTCTCCTGGTGAGTGTCTGTTTCCTAAATGAATTGTTTCACCTGACAGATATATTCTACTGTGGGAATGATCAATCAGCTCATTTTTTTGGCTGTTTCAGGCCAAGCAACACCTGGATTTGCTATCGTTGCACCTTCACCTGTTCAGCAGCCACAGCGGAGGGCCAGAAAGAGAAATAATTTATTCGATCATGCCACAGTATTGACGAACAAGTACCGTTTTTACTCTCATCCTCGTCCTCTCTCCCATGCTTATATTCCTTACTGGTTTTGCTTATTCATAAGAAAGATGAACTTTGTAGGTTTGTGAAGAAGGCCTTGAATGATTGTACTGATTTGTTGCGCAAAAAGAGGGCTCCACCTTCTGCTTTGAGCATCTGGAAGCTGACCAAGAAATCAAGGAATGATCAAGTTTTCCAGGAGCCACTAATAACAGGTCAAACATGGTTTCCATTAGTAAGCTGGCTTTTTGTGTAATTTGAAGCTTGTGGAAATTTATTCTACTTACACCATTGGTGCTTTATATTGTTATTCAGGCTTGTCCCCTGATATAAGTACCTACTTTGCCACGGACCATAGCTTTGCTATTCGTCATCCAATTCCTCAGCTGGAAGATATTGCTGAACCTACTGGTCCTTCATCTCCTATTCAATCAACTGCTGTAGATGTCAATCCAGAGCCTACAGTTCCAAATTCTCCTCCTGTTATTCAACCCATCTCGCCCAGAAATGACCCTTCTGAATCTCAAGCTCCCACAGTTGATCCCACTACTACTGTGGAGCCCACTAATAGGAACTCATCAAACCCAGAGCCTAATGATACTGATATGGGCATGGATATGGATATGGATGATATTGACTTTGAGCGTATTCGGGATGATGGAGGAGGCCATCATAGCAACGATGATGTTCTAAAAGAAATTTCGATGAGTTCTCATGTTCAATATGGGCCTTTTCCTAGACAAGATTCATCGACTCCCAGTCCTAGGCATGTGCATTCAACCACAGTGCGTGATGGGATAGGAAACACTGGTGCAAGTGACATGCTGCACACTGCAGCAGACTTTGGTGCCTCTACTAGTACATTCAGTTCTGGGTTGAGGACTCCAAGAATGTTTGGAGAGGACACTCAGCTCTCCAATATCCTTGAAGTGATGGATAGTCCAGAATCAGAAGTAAGCATCAAGCAGCATCAAACTGGGTTTTCAGCTTTCAGTGGCATTTATATTTATACCCTTTTTATTCCTTTTGCAGGGCCGTTATTCTGGTGGGGGAGATAGCACACCTGCTGGTGAGCTACTTGTTCCAGATTCCATATTCATTACCTTCCATGGATGGTGTTTGTTTTGTTGTGTTTTTTACATTGCAAATGTTGATAACAGGGTTTTATAGGGTAGGGAATCAAGGAGTTCATCGATTGTCTGGTAGAACAAGGTACCACATAAAGTTATCCCTTTTGGTTATGGGTTATTTTTATTGCATCTTCTAGAGCATTTGCATCTTCTAGGGCAGAATTTCTTAGAGTCTTTGGGTTTTGGACTTCTAGGGCTGTGGCTCAGTATTTGGAAAGACAATCCCCTATTACTCCAACGTTGGGAGAAGATCAAACCAGAGATATCAGTCTCAACAAGCTCTTAGAAGGGAAGACCAGGAGGGTGTGCGCCCGAATGTTCTTCGAGACTCTGGTAAGCCTCTTAAAAACTGTTTCTTTCAAGCTTAAGTTCTGGTAAAGCAATGAACGTTACCTCATTGACAATGGGTGGTTCTTCTATGTAGGTTTTGAAGAGCCATGGAGTCGTTGATGTGGAACGAGAGAAAGGACAGGGCCAAGCTCGTCTGAAGTTTGATGTGGAACAAGAGGAGCCCTATGGTGACATTCGTTTGAAGCTGACTCGTTTGGCGACGTAACATATCGGTAGTATTGCATATATAAGGTATTTTAGGTCATGAACCATCCAGCTTTGTGAATATGAAGTATGATGTTAGGTTCTGGTAGTAGGACTAGTTAGTTGAGTTATAGAGAGGTAGTGCTACAGGTAGATGGATGAGTAGAGTCCAATCAGTCCATCCATATGGTTGATTGTATACAAAGATAGTTGATTAGTAAAACTGAACTAGCTGTTGATCATTGTTCATGAATAAGAAGTGAGACGATGTGATGATTATAAAAATAGAAGTGAGACGATGTGATGTGTTGTCTTCTCAACTTATTGTTGTTCATCATTGTATAGTTTTAATCATGATCCATGAAACTGTATCGGACTGGCAGTTTAACCACAAAATACCAATATTAGAGGCTAAGTTGATAGGCAATATTTAACTGTACTAACTGATGAACTACTATTAAATTACGGGTTTGTCATAAAATACCCTGAGGGCAAAACCTAACTTTTCTGGAATGATTTCATGAACATCTACTCAATAGTCCTTGCTAAAATTTCGTCAAATCACTAAAGTTTCGACCAACGAGGACTAGCTCAATCGGTAGTTCGACACAAGTAATCACTAGTACGAATGCAGCGAGTATTTTTGCTTTTTAGTATGTCTCCGGTGAGGGTGAGGCTAAGGTGATGACATGGCGGCATCGGCAATGGCGGCAACATTGCCGGCGATGGTGATGAGCACTTTGACGGACTTTAATAATTGCCTCGACTTAAACATTTCAATTTTGCACTTACTAAAAGTCCCTTCAATCCATCCGTTAGATTAATCTCTGGTTTTCTATTTTTTACCCCACATCCCGTCCGTCCTTCAGCTTTCTTACTCCAGCGCTAGCAGACTACCGGCGGCGTCGAGCTCAGAAGCCATGGATATTCCCTCAGCTGTTCAACTTCCGCTCCTGTTTTGGAGACCGCCGGAGGATCTTGCAATGGGAAATTCTTCGAGTCCGTTGTTTGGCGCCTTAAGTTCAAGGATTCGGTCGACACATCCTCCGCCGTCTGGTTTGGCCGGCGTTTGTCCGCTTCCGCCGGGACTAAAGGTTGCTACTTCGTGCAGTAGGAAGAATTCAACGGCGGTGGTTTGCAGGATTCCACGTGATGAGGAAATTTAATATTCGGTAACATTCTTCTTCGTCATCGTCGTCTCCCACTTCGCATTTCTCTGTCTTTTGAATTCGATCAACTTGTTTGCAGTCACATGATGATTAGGGTAATGTAGTGTAAATTAGAGATAGATAATCCCCACTTGTGGCGTTGACTATTTGCATCAGATGGGTTCAAGATTCATATTGTCATGCTATCCCATTTGCAGCCTGGCATCATTGATGTGTTCATCCTGTTTGATCCTGCTAAAGCTCGAATTGCTCTTTACCCACTTTGATTTGGCTCTTACTCATTAGCTCCCCTGTGTTTTGTTTTTATTGGCTTCCCTGAAGATGGCTGCTGAAGCCATTCTGATCCCAGTTGCAAAATCAATCCTCGGCAAGGCAGCCGACTTGGCTGCGGAGCAGATTGGGCTCCTATGGAATTTCAAACGCGAGCTCAAGAAACTCAAGGACACTGTCACTATCATCCAGGCCGTGCTTCGTGATGCAGAAGAGAAGCAGTTCCACAACCATCAAGTCAAAGACTGGCTCGACAAGCTCTCGGATGTAATGTATGATGCTGATGATCTGCTCGACGATGTCTCTACCGAGACTCGTCGGAAGGCCATGACAGCGGAAGCAAATGGTGGCAGGAGAAGGACGATGGCGACGACGACGACTTGTTGGAGTGTGGTATGCTTTCTGTTCTCCTCGCTTTGTGAACAATTGGCATACGATCTAAAGATGGCTCATGCCATCAGGGCTATTAGGGAGAAGCTCGATGATATATCGAAAGACAAGGATGGTTTACATCTGGAGGTTTTATCTAAGGAAGATGCTCTTCCTTCGAGGGAGACCGACTCTTGTCCACCCACAATTGTTGTTGGGAGGGAAGATGACAAGAAGAACATCATTCAGCTACTGCTCCATTCTAACTGTGAAGCCAATATCTCTGTCGTCCCCATTGTTGGAATGGGCGGGTTGGGGAAGACTACCCTTGCTCAGCTTGTATATGATGATGACCGAGTTGAAGCTTATTTCGATACCAAGGTTTGGGTATATGTTTCACAGAGCTTTGATATCAAAGTAATACTTGGAAAGATGCTACAATCTATAAATCCTCAGGGTCAAGTGGGCTCCTCGCTAGACAATTTGCAAGCTGAACTCCGAAAAAGCATCAAGGGGAAGAGGTTTTTGTTTGCATTAGATGATGTTTGGGAGGAGAATGTTGAAAGTTGGGAACTTTTGACCAAGTATTTGATAGTTGGCGCACCTGGCAGCAAAGTGTTGGTGACTACTCGATCCACGAAAGTTGGGGAAGTCGGTGGCAGGACTTTGAAGTCGGAAACAAGTACCAGCATAGTGGCACCCTATCTCTTAGAAGGCTTGTCACTAGAAGAGTCTTGGGATTTGATGGTGAAAAAGGCCCTTCCCAGAAAGATCACAGTAGACCCATATGTAAAAGAAATTGGGCAAGATATATTGCGTAAATGTGGTGGAGTTCCACTTGCTGTGAGCTCAATAGCCGGTATGCTAATAAGTTCAAAACATCCCAAAATAGAGTGGCCGTCGTTCTTACACAAGGGATTTTTGAGCATATCTGAAGACGGGAATCGTACTATGGCAGCCCTCCAGCTAAGTTTCAGTCATCTTCCTTCCCATATGAAACATTGTTTTGCTTACTGTAAGCTGTTTGCAAAAGGTTTTCTGTTCGATGTTCAAATGCTGGTTCAATTCTGGATAGCACAAGGGTACATTGAGTCAGAGGATGAAGGCATGGATTGCTTCAAAATGTTATGGTGGAGGTCATTCTTTCAAGAGGTGAAGACAGATGAATTTGGGAATATTTCAAGTTGTAGAATGCATGATTTGATGCATGACTTATCTGACTCAATAACTAGGGATAAAATCCGCAGAATTTCCAGCTCAACTGCTGCTCTAACAAATTTTACTTCAAGCTCTCGTCATTTGTCTTTGTTTGAAGAAGGTGATGATAGTATTTCGCTAGAAGAAGCTGACAACAGCATCGTCGATGATGAGTTGAAAAATGCAAGCAAGGTGCGAAGTTTTCTATGTTGGAAAGATCTATCAACAGAAAATTGGGAAGGAGTCCTTCTCAAGTTCAACCGCTTGCGAGTGTTGATAATGGTTGCGAAAGTATCAAAAATATCCACCGCTTCAAAACAACTGTCTTATGTTAGTAAGCTGAAGCATTTAAGAGTTCTCAGTTTCTTCTGCCAAGGGATGAAAAGGGTTCCAGATTCCATTACCAACTTGCTCAATCTGCAAGTGCTTATGGTGACTTCCAGCTCATTAAACGAACTTCCAAGAGGTCTTAGGAAGCTGGTTAATTTGAAGCATTTAATCCTTCACCCAGATTGTTTGAAAAATTTCACCTATATGCCAAAAGGGATTGGGGAGTTGAAGCATCTTCAGACTTTATCCTTTTTTGTGATGGGCAAGAAGAACTACGTAAATGACAAGACCATTGGGGAATTGGATGAGTTGAAAGGCCTGAATGCCTTGTGTGGAGAGTTGATCATTACAAACTTGGCAAATGCTGAGACTCTTGGCACATGTGTTCATGTTTTGAAGAACAAGCTACTTCTGCATTCTCTGGTTCTCAATTGGAGTCGGTACGATGTTACTCCACAGTCTATCAGTGATGAAGAGATCCTGGAAATGCTCTGCCCCCACCCTAATCTTATGAAATTGAAGATATGTGGCGGGTACGGAGGTGTGAAACTCCCCAACTGGCTGTCTACCATCAGAAATCTGGTGGAAATCTCGCTGGAAAAGTGCACGCATTGCAAGAACCTCCCACCATTGCATCACATTTCGGGTTTGAAGAAGCTTAACATTGAAAATTGTCCACAATTGAAGAGAATCAATAATAATGCAGGTGGTGGTGGTTACCATTGTGATTCCTCTCCTAATGACTCAACACCAACCAAGAAAGAGGATAAGGAGTGGCCCCAGTTTCCATGTCTAGCCTCCCTGCGCATCAAAGATTGCCCCAATCTAACTCAGGCGCCCACTTTCCCAACTGTTGAAGGTGAGTTGGTGTTGGACGGAGCGAGCTTACAACTATTAGCTAGAACGATGGAGATGATGAGGGCTGACTATGCAGATGAATTCATCACCATGATTGAATACGGAGATACAAACCCTCCTTTTCTTCCTTATCCTCCTTCATCGACCTTCGTCTCCCCACTCTCCAAGCTGAGAAAGTTGAGGTTAGATGGAATTGATGATGATCTTGAATCTCTACCAAATAATGGTGATTTCAACAATTGTCTTGTCTCTCTTCAAGAGTTAAAGGTTCGAGATATTCGATGGGGAGCGAAGCTACCTAGCTCGTTGTGCTCCAGTACAAATTTAACAGTGATACATTTACAACATTGTGAGAGGGTAAAGTACTTGCCACCCCTACATAAACTCCCATATTTGGCAGAGCTATTAATTGGGAATTGTCCGAGGCTAAAGGGTTGTTGGCCGAAGAAGAAGGGGGAGGAGTGGCCTCATTTCCCTTGTCTTTCCACCTTGCAAATTAGAGGTTGCCCAAACTTGACTCGGATGCCCTTGTTTCCAACAATTGAAGGCAATTTGACTTTGTGGATGACCAGCTCACGGGCACTGGTCGAAACAATGAAGATGAAAGTGACAACTCATGACTACAATTTTCCACGGTATTCTACTACTACTACAACGGAAACGGGTCCTTCTCCTACTTTGCCGAGGACTGTACTTGTTAGCCCACTCTCTAAGTTGACAAGCCTGTCGCTCTGTGGAATGGATGACCTAGAATCTCTACCAGAAAAAGGCCTTGGAAACCTCAGTTCTCTCCAGGAGTTGGTGATTGAAAAGTGTCCCGGACTAGCAACTCTGCCTCCCGCAATGCAACAACTCACCTCTTTACAAACGTTGGATATTTGGAGGTGTCCTAGGTTGGCAGAGCGATGCAGAAAGGAAGATGGTGAAGATTGGCACAACATTTCTCACATTCCATTCATAGAAGTGGACGGAAAGACGCTCCAAAAATCAGGTTGAGGTTCCTTGTGATCAAGTTTCACATCTCTAGCTAAAACTGAATGATGATCTCATTTCACCTCTCCACCTGTTGTCAGCTTTATCTTGTAAAATGCTGTAAAGCGACTATGATTAGTCTCTTTCATTCCAACTCCTAATTAATTGTGTTTTTTTTTTTTTCATGTGTTGGTGTTAGGCTGCCAAAGATGAAGGGACAATTGGTAGCCAGTCGACTCATCAACTCAAAAACTACTGCCACTAGGAACTAAATCTTTAGCATTACTAAGTTATTTGTAATTTTGTATCTAGTTCTCTGCCACATTAGAAAACTGCTCATACCTGACTGAGATGCATCTGTTTCCAGCCGAGGAGCCGTCTCGTGCCTTGAGTTTTGCATCGTATGGTTTCTTATTTGCCTGTGTCAAGGGATTGTATATATAGTTCACCATCTCTTGTTTTGCCCTTACTCTGTACCTTCCTTTTCAAAGTAGAGGACCAATCGTATTGCAATCTTGGTGTCTGCTTAGGAAAACATGATCACATTTAGAAGTGAGCTCCACTTTGCTAATGCTGTATTGATAAATCTCAATGGTATATGAGAACTGGGTTGCCATCCGTTTTCATTGGACTTCGTTGGATATAAGTACTCTGAGCCTTTGTTCTGGGCTTGGATTTCAATAAAAGTAGTTTCTTCTTCAATTGCCTCAAATCCTCCATTATTTGGGTTGTGCAATCTTTCCTCGTCCCTCAGCGACCCCTTCTATGATTGAGCATAGTAGCATTGAGGAGGTAACACTTTTTAGCACCAAAAACATGGTTTTCTTGACACTTTTGAGTTATTTCAGTCTCTAGCATGTTTTTAAGCTGTTATTCTTTGCTGAAAAGTTCTGCAGGCGGTAGATCAATCATGGTCCTGGATTTACCGGTTCCTCAGACAAGGCCCACTTACAGGTGCAAAAGGAACCATATTGAAGGTCAGTAAGCATTTGTTTTGGTAGTAACTATTACCGTTCTTTTCCCCATCTTTGCCTTCCTTACTTAAGGATAGAGAATGGTCAGATTGCAATTTTGGGTTTCCAATAATAAGCTTGATCATCTTTTTGCGCAATGATGCTTCAAAACCAGTTTGCCATGCCTTGTGATATCTGATCATGGAATAGTTTTTAATGCGCTGTAAGGTTAATGAAGAAGAAGCATAGGGAGTTTGGGAGGGATATTAAAATGGAGAATTTTGATTAAGAGGGTTGATATCAGCTGGAGATGTAATAGTTGGTTCCATGGGAGACTTACTGTTTGTCTAGTAAAAGCTTTGATGGGAGCAGAGTTTACCAAGTTCAATGTGTCCTGTATTATTATTTCTCCTTACTATTTTAGCTTTGTTCTTTCATATAAATAACCGAATTGATACATCCGTTTTCTTCGTAGCAGGTGCATGAACGAGTTGATCTGTCTCGAGCCATGTTCGGAACAAAATTATCCCTTGACCTCAGCTGAGCGTGAAGCCGGTATAAGTATCGAGGTACCTCCCCATAGTCATGCCTATCCTAAGATATAGTAGTATTGATGACTCAATACCCATATTTATGCACACTGAAACTCCAGACTTTTGAAAATGTTGGACTTCAATAAATAAATAAATAAATAACCAAGTTGTGGTGGATTATATTAAACCAAATTTCTTTCTATCCAAAGCTTATAACTTTCAATGACAATACCGTTCCTGGAAATCGTGCGAAGAAACTCGACTTGAAGGAGTTTTATACCAACTTCTTGAAATAAAACATGGATGCTTGTCTGTGCATCGATTCTGGACTCTAATTGTGGAGCTTCCCTTTGATTATTACTGACATTACACACCATATCAATCGAGTTTGTTCTTAAACTTAAATTTGCGAAGTTTCAGAGACGGTTGCAGCAGCAAGAAGCAGAAAGGTTCAACAGACGGTGCAGAGAAGGTATTGATGAGAGATAAGGTCAATCAATTCCTGCAAAGCTTAATGCCAGCTAAAACCGAAAATAATTATAGCTAATTAATCATGCTTTGGTGTATTTGCTTGCTCAACTCTAACAATTCCATTTCCAGGTCGTCATCACTGCCAGTGCATTAAGCTGTCACAAAGTTCTGTTTATAGTGTATCCAACACCTCCATGTGGGACAACTATATAATATAGGTATGATATATCGTTGGATACATCAGAGACATTTTCAGTTGGGTTATATACTTATATCAAGAAATATTTCACATTCCTCCAAAGATCCAGTTTTTCTCTACTCTCCTGATTTGCTCTTTGCTCCCCTGTTTTTTCCTGACTCCCTCACTCTTGATTTGCTCTTGCTTGTCCGCTCTTGCTCTTCATTGTTGGGATGAGTGGATTGGGGAAGACAATAAACGCTAGCTAATTTATTGGCATTTCTTCGACTCGTCTCATTTCTTTCTCTGCTCCTCGGATTCACTGTCAGAATGCTTAACCGTGACGGCGATGTGAATGCACTTTGTGATCTTTTCCTCATCTCTTCATTAAGAATTCCGCTTTTGACAGCCTCCAGGTTGACAACACCATCTTCTGCGGAATTGGTAAGTGAAACCTTCAACGTCTCCAACGATTCTGGAAGGGAAGCAAGAACCAGGAGAGCAATCACTTCATCTTCCATCTTTATGTCCATGTCGGACAATTGATTTACGATCCCTTGAATTTCGTTCAAGTGATCCACCAGAGATGTGTTGTCTTTGTATTTCATCTGCACCAACTTGGTAAGATAAAAAAGTTTGTTGTTCCCGTTCTTCGCGGCATAAAGTCCCTCCAGCTTGCTCCACAAAGCTTTTGCATCATTCTCTTCACAAATGTGATTGTACACATTATCATCTACAAACTGTCGAATGTAGCTGCACACTTGTTGATGCTCGAACTTCCAATCTTCGTCAGATTTGCCTTTAGGCTTACTCGAGCTGAACACTGGCAAATGCAACTTGGTCACGAGCAAGAAATCCTTCATCCTATTTCTCCATATGTGATAGTTAGAGCCATTCAAACGGACCATCTTGTTTGTTCTTACCTCCATCGAACTTAACTCTGAACCGCCAAGTTGACCCTCCAAGGACTTGTCCTTATACTCCATCTGCTCCAACTTGGTCGGAGAAAATAGTTTGTTGTTGTCTGTTTTCGATGCATAAAGTCCCTCAAGCTTGCTCCACATAATTTTTGCATCATTCTCACCACAAATGTGATTGTACACATTATCATCGACAAACTGTCGAACATAGTTGCACACTTGTTGATGCTCAAACTCCCAATCCTCGTCGGTTTTGCTGTGAGGCTTAGCCGAGCTAAACACCGGCAAATGCAACTTCGTCACAAACAGGAGATCTTTCATCTTGTTTCTCCATATTCGATAGTTTGAGTCATTCAAATTTATCATCTTGCTTGCTCTTGCCTCCATCGAACGTGGCTCAAATACAACTTGCTAGGTTCAACATGCAACAACAAAAAAATAAGTATATTGCACTAAAAAAAGTTGAAACCAGTGGCAGACCCTCTAGAGCATAAACCCACTATACACGAGCAATTATATAAAATCACCTCAAAACCAAAATGGCAATAATAAACGAACTTACCTAACCAATCTACTTGGACAATATTAAGCATAGACAAAGACAACAAATAAATGATATGATGATTTACGTGATATACTCTTGATTTAGGGCCGATCCACCAGAATAGCGCTCTGTAGTATTTCTTCTCAAACTCACTATTTCTCACTCGCAAGAAAAGAACCGAGAGTCGAAGCAGAGCAAGCAAATGAAAGAGGAAAGAAAGGAAGAATGAGGCGATGAGTAGAGAATGGAACCTCTATTGGGTTCCTTTTATAGCCCAATGGATGGAGGGAGCAGAGTAATTGCATTTGGGTGGGCAAAAACTGCGGGCCAGCTTTACACCTCCACCTACCATCTGCTTTTCATTACTCCCATCAGCTTTCAGTGGTCTCTTTTCTCTTCTTTCTTTGTTCATCAATTATCACATATGCAGGCGGACCCGAGCCACCGACAGTTCTTTATGTTCCAGTACGAGCATAAACAGAGACGGATTTACGATGCCGCCCTTAACATAAACTCCCATCTTTGAAGAAGAGGAATTGAGGGGAATGGTAATCACAACAATGGTGGTGATGAGGGAGGTGGAGGAGTGGCCACAATTCCCTTGCCTCTCCCTTTTGATATTGCTCTGTTTCTTGCTCCCCTGTTTTTACCTTGCTCTGTTTCTTGCTCCACCTCCCTTGCTTTCCAGTTTCTTTTTAATTCCTCCTACAATGGCGGAAATCATTCTGATTCCTTTACAAAGGGAAGTCGACTTTGTAGCTCAAGAGTCTTCGTGATGAATTACCAAATTCTAGTTGAGAAAGAGCGCATGTAATTGTAAATTGGGAGCCCGACTCCTCGTTGCAAGAAATCCAGACGGGATTGAAGGAGAATCTGTGCTACACTCTTGATTTTGGGTGTGCGTACTGTAAATTGATTCTAATCATCAATTTTTAACTTTAAATCAAATACATTTTTTTTAGGTAAATACAATATATTAGTCAGAACTATTAAGTAGCGGGTGATTATAGACACAACTATCGAAATACAAATTATTAGCCATAACTATTGTTGCGGGTCAATATATGGCTAACAACCTGTTACCGTTATTAAATTTTTAACGGAGACTGCCACATTAGCAGTCATATTAGCGTCCACGTCAGAAAATATTAAAATAATAAAATCTCCTCCGATACACGTATTCTTCCTCCTCCCTCCCATCGTTCTTCTACCTCTACTGCACCACTCCGCTACCATCGTAATTGCTCTGGTTGCTTACAATAAGACCTCCGCATAACGACGGCGCACCCCACGAAGAGTTGTGGAAGATCCGCCGCATTCCGCCCCGGTCACATTCCTCCTTGCTGGAGAGGAACAACCGTAGTTGTGTCCCCCGCTGCGGCGGCGGCGCCCTAACCCTAATTGAGAAATTGATGATTTCATTCTTAAGACACTCAATCTGTTCCGTCAATCAAAACCTAATCGAACTATATGAGGAAAGAAGCAGCTGGTTGACCACCTGTGCAGAAGCACCACTCGAGGGAAGTAGCAGCTGGCAGGTGGGAAGGGGAGCTCGACAACAACTTCTCTTTCTAGAGAGGGTAGCTCCGCCCATCGCAGTCCGCCTTGGTCGACCTGGAATTGAACGCTTCCACCTTGGGTAGAGAGGAAGGGTAGCACCGCTTTCGGCAACGACGAACGCTTCCCCCTTGAGTAGAGAGGAATGGGAGAAGAAGAAGAGGGGTTTAGATAGCGTCACAACCCTCATAGGGGTTGTGATTTTCACTTCCTCCTTCACAGCCATTAGATCCACCCTTTCTCTTGGTTTTTCAAATTAATGGTTTAGATTAAATAAAGGGTATTTTTGGAAAAGAAAAACTTACCACACAGGATCCTTTCTCATTTTCTATATAATCTGATTTCCTAAAAAAAACTCTTCCTCTCTCCCCTCTCTCTTCCCTCTCCCGAGAACCCTAACTGCTCTTTGTCTCTCCCTCCCGTTGCCGTCGCCGCCGCTGCCGCCGCCCCCTCCCGTCGCCACCGCCGTCGTCTTTCCCTCCCGTCGCCATCGCCACCATCTCTCCCTCCCGCCGCAGCCGTCGCGTCCTCCGCCTCCCACCATCGCTGTAACATCCCGTTCCGGCAAAACCAATATTTCGATCGCTAGAAAGTTCGCGATTTAAAATCGAGCATTTCGACACTATTTCGACGAAAATCGGATTATCGAATCGATCGGATAAGTATACGTATTAATTAATAAATAAATTATATATATATATATATTCTGTCCATTTAATTCCCTCCCCGTCTCAACTTTCCAAGAAACCATTCCACTTCTTCTTCTTTCCATTTTCCGGACCGAGAGAAGCAGAGCTTCAGGGGAACTCGAGGGAAAATTTTCACAGCTCAATTCTTGAGCTCTAGTAGCCCAAAAATCCCGTAAGTAATGCCTAATTCATCTATACATCGTGATTTATCGATTTAGAGCTTTAAAACGAGGTTTTGGTTCAGGAATTTCTTGAATTCCCGATAAGCCAAATTAGGGTTTCGGAGTATCCGGAAGCCGGATTGAGCACAAATTTCATATACAAGCTTCCTGCGGCAAGGGGATATTAGGACGGTCTCGGATTTTAATTCGGGGTTCGTTGGTGGAATTAACGTTTTATTACGGGAAGGTTAAACCGGTGTTTGAACGACCAGAACTGGTGAGGGATTAGCACGGCATACCGGGTTTGTCGTATCACGATAATTATATTGATGCTTAGAATTGATCTAGGTGAACTAGAATGACATGATTAGGGGTGTATGAACTTTTGTGCTATATGTTGAACCCTGGATTGCTGTATGATATTATTGACTTGCCCTAATCGATATGAACCTTGTTTATGCTGATGATTGTGTATATGTTGCAAATTGTGGGCTTGACTGTTAATATGCTTTACGATGGTTCGAGAAGGTGATTAGGTATGATTTTTCATGATTATTGTATTTGGATGCACAAGTGGGAAAATATATATCTCATGGTGATATTATGATGTTTAAGTAGGATGACATGCACGAGGGTTCACCCCGAGGAAGTGCAATTATACGACTCATGTTTTACCTATGTTGAGCCAAGTATGGCCCGGTCAAGTACATGTACAAGTAACGAATTATGAGTAAGCAAGATGAGACATGGATCACGTATAAGATTACCAAATAAGAGTGATTTGGTCTCATGGTCAATTACATAGTAATTAGGGCTCCCCATGCTATTACTCCGTTATGATATGTTATGTCACACCCCTGATGTGGTGTTGACCGTTGATTCATCATGAGATATGACCTCACCCAGAGTGGTGTTGAGTCCGATATGACCACACCCATAGTGGTGTCAGGTCCGATATGACTACACCGGCAGTGGTGGGTCCGATATGACCACATCCACGGGATGTTTGGTCCGTATTCCCGGGAGAGTAATTAGCATGGGAGTAGCCAGGCGCCTATAAGTAAAACATGATAAGATGCATATGCATAAGTCAAGGTGGTTGAGTCTTTTGCCTATTGGGATGTCGGATGCCTGAGGTTTGATCCTAGTGTTTTGGCTTGTTTGCTAGATGTATGTTAGGGGTATGCTCTGTTATGAACTCACGATGCTATGATTATCTCACTCAGCTATGAGCTGACCCTCTTTTATTCTTTTTCTCTGCTTATGGTATGTGTAAGTAGATCATCAGCAGCAGCAGTAGATAGGTGTTAGGTGGGAGAGGAGCTAGAGTTGAAGTCAAGATGAGGTATGGTGTTCAACTATTCTGTGCTTGGACGACTACTTGAGATTTTGGCCAGTGATCCACACATTTTTGTAAAATGTTTTGAGAACGTTTTTCATGTGCATACTAGCTTCTGATGTAGTGTGAGATATCCACAGGTGTGGAAAGTTGATGATATGTGTATATTGTGTAATTATGTAAGTTGTGATGATTATAACATGTATCAGTATAGCATGCAGTTGTGTAACATGAAACGGTGACTATGGCTATGAAAAGCCAATGCATATGGCAGTGAGTGTATATGTTTATCTATGAATGCATGGATTTAGATGAATTATTTTGCAGGATTAGATGGAAGAACTGTTAGCCCATTACGCGAGTAATTCATGTCGAAATTTTATTTGGGTAAATTTTGATAATTAATGTAACACCCAAGATTAATTCCGCTGCAATTGTATGAACAATATGATTAGGCAAAAAGTATAGGGTAGGGTGTTACAATCGCAGCCCTCTCTCCTCCCTCCAACTCCTGTCACCGCCATCTCTCTCCCACCGTCCTCCTCTGCCGCCGCCGCGAGGTAACGACCTCTCCCCTTCCTTCTCCTTTCCTCATTCCTTAATTTTTTTCCAGATCTGGGATTTTCCAGATTCCAGATCTTGTTTTTTTATGTTATTCTCTAGTGGTACTGATTTCTGTCTAGTGGTACTCTACCAGTGGTAGCGTACTAGTACTCAGTGGTAGTGGTACCAGTGAGTAGTGGTACTGATTTCTGTCTAGTGGTACGCTACCAGTGGTAGTGGTATCGTACCATTATTCACTGGTAGCGGTACCAGTGGTAGTGGTAGCGTACCACTACTCACTGGTAGCGGTACGAGTGGTATTTGTAGCGTACCACTACCACTAGTACGTACCACTAGATGAAAATAAGTATCACTAGCACACTGATGGAGTGGTTTTTTTGCAGTTGGCCGGAGCGAGTCTGATTGGAGGATTTCACCGGAAAAATTCGTCGGCCAGAGAAATTTTGGCGGTCGGAGTGAAGAGGTTGCTGGAAAAGAAAGAGAGAGAGATAAGCTTATTAATTGTAGGATTTAAATTAAAAAAGTATTTAATCTGGGTTTTTAATTCCCAATCTGTAATTAATACAAAAATAAATAAATAATAATTTCTGTTTTTTTTCATACCCAAATTGCCCTTGGATGTGAATCTCACATCCCTCTTAGGGGATGTGACGGTAACTCATCCCGAAGAAGAGAATATGGAGGTGCTCGGTTTGATTTTTATTTTTTATCCTAATATTTTATTAATATTTAAGTTATTAAGGTTGACCGGCTGATGTAACATTTTTTGTTGAGTACCACATCAGAATACCTCTTCCACGTCAGCATAACATCTGCCAACTCACCATCATCTAACAGAAGTGTTAACGGAGACTTAACGATTAGTTATTATTTTGTATTTTAATAGTTGTTATAATTCCCCGCTGCTTAATAGTTCTGACTAATATATTGTATTTACTCTTTTATTTATTATGGTGATATGTATCCTATAATAACTACTAGTACTAGTCCATGCATTTCTTTTACTCATAAATTTGGCCGTAAAATGACCAAATTCTAAAATGGTACAAAAAAGTAAGATTTTTTTAAGAAACAAGCAAATTGTAAATATATTTTGTACAGCCCACATTTTTTCTTGTTAAATATTATATCGTTAAAAATTGACATCGTCAAATTAGATTATCAAAATGACTATTTTAATGCACTTAAAACAAATATATCACATATGTGCTTATCAATAAGTATTAAGTATTGTATATTTGTAGGTGACTACTTTGGTGCACTCACAAAAATGAGTGCGTTTAATGCACCCAACTAAAAAACTACGCTTAAGGTGTCTGATTTTGAATTCTAATTTATAAAATTAGTGTAATATGATGATATAACATATGATAACAACTAATTAGCGGATTACCCTAAACCCTAGACCTCCAATTTTGAGTTCTATCCCTAAACCCCCAAATTGTAAACCCTAACCCTAACCTTAAATCTCTAAACTCTAAATCCTTCAAATTAAAGTAAATCTTCAATGGTTTTTGTGCAAATTCATGTGCGTTATTGTTCATCACATCATAAGTGATGATTGACATCAATTTGACATAAATCGCATGTTTATAATGACGATTATGAAGCGGGTGCACTGAATGCACCCAAAAAAGTGATGCACCGAAAACGCCACCATATGTGTATGCAATATTCTTCAAGACATAATACATTATTTGGGCAAGAACAATTCTCCAAGAGATTGTCCCTTCGACTTCGAGAACATCTGATTCTCCAAGAAATCATTCGTAATACTGATACCAAGTATTACCGTATCAAAATATTTTGCGAACGGAATTGGAATATCGGATTTATTTGGGGATCGGAATTGAGATTGATTCTAGAATACTATGCAATAATAGATACCGAGATGCCAATACCGTACAGATTTCCACATCTAACTCACAGGTCAACCAGCCGGTTACCCATGCATTACTCGATAATTTGACCTGGCTGAACCCGTACCAAGGTTAACTAGAATAACCAGACCGGACGCGCGGTTTTGCGGCCCCGGGTTGAAGAATCCTAATACCCTTCGGAAAATGATTAAACAAAAAAAGAAAAGTAAAATTCCGTCAGCAGATTGTGTTGTTGGTGTTGGAGACTAGAGAGAGCCGCCCTGGATGATTCAACGACATCCCCCATTTCTTTGACCTTTCTTCTTCTTCTTCGCATATATATATTATCATGTTTAATTTTTTGGGTTTCCATTTTTTCCACCCAATGGTCTAATTTAGCAGCTTCTCCATGTCTACGATTCTCTTTTGGCTCACAGCTTTCGACTTTTCTCTGATGGGTTCTTGACGGCCGCCAAAGGGAAACAAAAAAGAGAAGAAGAATCAGCTCATCAATCCCACCAAGAACAAGCAGCCACATCAACCAAAAAAGGAAAAGCTTTGGTTTTGATCATGCAAGAAGAAGAAACAGCTGATTCCTGGCCTCCTGTCATACTGTTCTTACTGCTCTCAATCATCTTCCTCCATGGTAAACCCCCCTCTCCTTCCTCCTCTTCACTTTAATTCTCTGTTTGATTGATTGGTGATTCTGAATGAAGGGTTTAGAGCAATTATATGAGTTATTCATGGAATCATGGGGGTCCTTTACAGAATTCAGTTTCAGGGTTTTCAGAATTCTCACCTGGTTTGCTTCTCTCTCTCTCTCTGTGCAGTAACTCTGGTCGCCGGAGATTCTCTGGAGGCGGACAGAGACGCTCTACTCAGCTTCAAATCCTACTTGATAAGCAATAACAGAGTGAACCCAGGGAGGTACTTGCAATGGAATCAAGGAGGCGGCGGCGGCGCCGCCGCCACCAACCCCTGCAACTGGGCCGGAATTTCCTGCTCGTCCGACCGTTCCAGAGTCACCGGGATCGACCTCTCCGACAACAACATCTCCGGCGAGCTCTACAACAATTTCTCATCCTTAACAGCTCTGGAGTCCCTTGACCTCTCCAGAAACTCGCTCCTCGGCTTCCTTCCTTCTTCTGATCTCGGCAACTGCCGCAGCCTTGCTTACCTCAATCTCTCGCACAACATCCTCAAGGGGGAAGTGAACTTCACCGGGCTGACGAACTTGCGGGTGCTCGACTTAGCTAAGAACAGGTTTACAGGAGGAGTTCAGTTCGGTCGACCTGGAATGTGCAACGACTTGGTGGTGGCCAATCTGTCGGAGAATTATTTCAGTGGAAGGATCGATCAGAGCTTCGTCGGGTGCTCGAATTTGGAGTACCTTGATTTGAGCTCCAATCAGTTCACCGGCGGGTTGTGGAGCGGATTTTCCAAGCTCAAGGAGTTCTCTGCCTCGGAGAATGGATTGAATGAGCTCTCTGGCTCTGTGTTTGATCAGGATTGCAGCCTGCTGTCCTTGGACATATCCGAGAACAATTTCACTGGCGAATTGCCTGGAAATGTTTCGAACTGCAGGAATCTCACGAGCTTGAATGCTGCAGGGAACGGTTTCAGTGGCCCCATTCCATCAAAAATCGGCAGGATCGGGAGCCTGGAAACTCTGCTGCTCGGCAACAATAGCTTTTCTCCGGCTATACCGGAATCTCTATTGAGCTTGAACAACTTGACCCTTCTGGATTTGAGCAGAAACAAATTCGGAGGCGAAGTACAGCCCATCTTTGGCAAGCTCACACAAGCTAAGTATCTGGTGCTGAGCGGGAATTCATATACCGGTGGGTTGTACGGTTCAGGACTTCTCAACCTAACACATCTCCTTGGACTAGACTTGAGCTACAACAATTTCTTAACTCCATTACCGGTCGAAATCTCCCAAATGCGCGGTCTCAAGTTCCTAATCGTGGCACATAATCAGTTCAACGGCAGCATACCTCGTGAATACGGGAACCTAACAGACATTCAGGCGCTCGATCTCTCCTTCAACAGGCTCACAGGTAGCATACCATCCTCCATTGGTGATCTCAACTCACTCCTATGGTTGATGCTTGCAAACAACACCTTAACCGGCGGAATACCTCCTGAATTGGGCAGATGCAACAGCTTGCTGTGGCTGAACCTAGCCAACAACAACCTCTCAGGGGAAATCCCATCTGAACTAATGAACATAGGCAGCAATCCGGGGCCTACATTTCAACAAAACCGCGAGTACGGGAGGGCTTATGCTGGGGTTGGAGAGTGCTTGGGAATGAAGAGATGGATACCAGCTGATTACAATCCGTTCAGCTTCGTCTACTCGATACTCAACACACGGAGCTGCAGAAGCTTGTGGGATAGATTATTCAGAGGAAATGGACTCTTCCCGGTGTGTGCTCCGGGGTCCACCGTCAGAACGTTTGCGATCTCGGGTTATCTCCAGCTCAGCGGGAACATGCTGTCAGGACAGGTCCCTAGAGAAATCGGCAAGATGCAGAATTTCAGCATGCTGCATTTGGGATTCAATGATTTTACAGGGGATTTACCTCCGGAGGTCCAGCAAATGCCCCTCGTGGTTCTGAACCTGACCCGAAACTCGTTTCGGGGAAGCATCCCCAGCGAAATCGGCAACATCAAGTGCTTACAGAACCTGGATTTCTCCTACAACAACTTCTCAGGAACGTTCCCAACCAGCTTCAACAACTTGACAGAGCTCAGCAAGTTCAACATCTCCTACAATCCATTCATCTCCGGCGTCATTCCAACCACCGGCCAGTTAGCAACATTCGAGAGGGATTCCTTTCTAGGAAACCCCCTCCTGAGTCTGCCCCAGTTCATCAGCAACCCACCCGATTCCCGTGCAACAAAGGATCCGAATTCTGCAAATGACAAGAAAGCAATTCGCACGAAATGGGGAGCATTCTTGATCTTCTCCGCCCTCGTCTTGGCAATCTTGATCTGCGGAGCACTGTCGTTCGTCATCCATCTACTGGGGAAACCCCAATCATCATCATCACCTGGGTATCTACTGCAACACAACAAATCCAGGCACGACGTCTCGACGACCTCCGGCAGCTCGTCGCCGGTATGGTCGTCGGACACCGTGAAGGTAATCCGCCTGGACAAGACGGCGTTCACCCACGCCGACATTTTGTCCGCGACGGAGAACTTCTCGGAGGGGAGAATCGTGGGGAGAGGAGGGTTCGGCACAGTTTACAGAGGGGTGTTACCTGACGGAAGAGAAGTCGCGGTGAAGAAGCTGCAGAGAGAAGGGATCGAAGGGGAAAAGGAATTCCGAGCGGAGATGGAAGTCCTGACCGGCAGCGGATCTGGATCTGGATCTGGCTGCCCGCATTTGGTGACGCTCTACGGGTGGTGCCTCGACAGATCGGAGAGGATCCTGGTGTACGAATTCATGGAAGGAGGGACGCTGGAGGATGTGATGGCGGATCGGCTGACGTGGCGGCGGCGCGTGGAGATCGCTGTCGACGTGGCGCGGGCGCTGGTGTTCCTCCACCACGAGTGCTTCCCGGCGGTGGTACACAGGGACGTCAAGGCGAGCAATGTGCTGCTGGATAAGGAAGGGAGGGCTAGGGTTACGGATTTCGGGCTGGCGAGGTTTGTGGACGTCGGGGGGAGCCACGTCAGCACGATGGTGGCCGGGACGGTGGGGTACGTGGCGCCGGAGTACGGGCAGACGTGGCAGGCGACGACGAAAGGGGATGTTTACAGCTACGGGGTGTTGTTGATGGAGCTGGCGACGGGGAGGAGGGCGGTGGACGGAGGGGAGGAGTGTTTGGTGGAGTGGGCGAAGAGGGTGATGGTGGGCGGCGGCGGAGGAGGAAGGGGGCGGGCGGCGGCGGCGGTGGTGGGGCCGGGAGCGGCGGAGATGGTGGAGCTCTTGAGGATCGCGGTGAGGTGCACGGCGGAGGCGCCGCAGGGGAGACCCAATATGAAGGAGGTGCTGGGGATGTTGGTGAAGATACCCGGAAGCAGTAAGAGAGGAGGAAACTTGTTCGCCGGCGGCAACGGCGACGACCTAGCTCCGGCGTGGTAAAAAATAGCAAATTAAGGAAAATGAAAGAAAGAAAATACATGTATGTAAAATATAGTAGTGTAGCCAGCAGCCAGCAAGGAAGAACATATTTCTCCATTTTTGTCCTTTTTTATCTCTGATTCTTATTGTAAAAAAGAATAATGAATTATGCAAAACCCATTTCATCCCAGGAGAAAGAACAGAATAAATGAATAGTTCTCCAGAAAGATACTTCTCATTGATCTGAAGCGTCTGCTATCTACTGTGTCTTTGATCCGAAGCAGATCATAAATGCATCTTTAGGTACACAGAAAAGGGCCTGCAATACGCGTATTAAGCTGAGTATTTACTAACTATGGTACAAGGGGTAGAAAGAATCCAGAACCTACTTAACAACCTGCAGCAAAAACTCTCATACAAACAGTCTACTCTCAATGCTCAGAAGTTCCAGCGATCCAGCTGCCGCCTTGCTTCACCCATGTCTTTCTGTGCTTTCTTCCGCCGGTAGAATATAGGGCAATCTCGACTGCTCCCCCAATTATGGAACAAAGATCAACCATCATTCAAGAGGCTGGAAAATGCATGACAGGACATTGTTTAATAGGGGAGAAAGCAGTTCTTACCTAGTGCATAGCACATCTTGATGAAGAGAGCCTTGACATTCCTGGCACTGTGTCCACAGCCTCCCAAAAAGGGATTCTAGATCAGCCACTGCATCCAAAAAGAACAATCTCTCTGTGAGAAAGTACGCAGAAAAGGGTATGTTCTCGTGTTAGATAGATAAACAAGCAAGATGTGATAAAGATGCAGTAACTACCTTGAGAAACACTCTTGCAGTACAGCTCGGCTTCTCTTCCTTGGCAATGAGTGCAAAGAGTTCGCTCCGAATCCCTGGTTCAACAAAGTAAATTGGAGAAGCTCGGGTTAGATTACAACTATTCTGAAAATACACAACCAAAAAGAACGCAGAGTATGAAAGGCATTTACTTTATTACTGCTTTGCAGCCAAGGCAGGTGAGTTGTTTCTTTGCAAATCTCATAATGCCCCCACTGGATGGAATGGGTTTCGATATATTTCGGGTGTGATCCCCGCTGAGTAGTTCATCTTTGGCGTTCTTCAAAATCGGCTCAAAGATACGTAGAAGTGGCTGCATTGCCAAAAGGCTTCATATTAGAGCCGTTCAGAAGATTGCAAGTTGCAACCAAGCTGCGTATAAAAACTCGTTATTACTCTGACCTTCTGTAGCTGATTTGTGAGGTAATATTTACTGTCAATTGGAATGTTATTCTCTAGCACATATATGGGATCCTCAGACTTCTCATAGGCCTGTCCATAATAGCATAACATAGTTGGTTTAGATTAAGAAAATTTATCTCAAATAAGAACACTGACACTCTAATCATCACTAATGGACCATAATATGGGTTCTTCTCCACACAAACCGGAATATGGAGACCCTACCTTTGCTCCTTTTGCAGCTTCTATTATGACATAAGCAACTCGGTCCCCAACGTTGGGGGCAGTGGCAGCATCTCTCTGTGAATCAGAAAAGAAACGGGATTGGAAAGCCTGAACATATATAAATGTCATTCAAAACAAATTAATCCTTCCTGAAGCACAGATCCAGTTGAAGTGTTATGAGACCATAGTGTACTATTATTAATTACAATCATAAGTCTTTGTTAGAGCAAAGCAAAGTTTACACCAAGCCAGTGACCCTAGCTTTCTAGTAGTCCATAAGGCTTACAAATGAAACATACTCATCCCACAAACACAGGAAGTATGCTCAATTCATCGAGACCAGCAATCATATAACCAAGTTTGATAAATACTTCCTAATCAAATTATTTTAGTACCAGAAATTAAAAATAATAGAGCTAAGCTTGGACAAAAAGCAAAAATGAGAAAAGAAGAATTCAATGAATTTATTATTTGAGAGTAAGTAGGAAAATTTGAATAACCTTGCGCATTCGTTCAGCAAGCTCAACATGAGCAGACTTCACTTCATAGTCATCTCCAGTCTTGGTCAAACCCTTATGATACCAAACACATCAAACCAGATAATAAGACATTAGTCTACAATATTTCAAATAATTCAGTTTAAAGTGAGCATGCAAAAAATAAAATAAAAAAATTGCCACCTTAGTAATAACAAGGAGTGACAGGTCCAGACGATTCATGAGAAGATCTGAAATAGTATTCTTTACATATTGAACTGCGCCAGGGACATCTCTGTCCATTAGTATCTTATGCAGACATTCAGTTATCAGGTTTTTAACCAAAAGGCAGTTGTCTCTTCGGACTGTCTCAATTCCTGTCCATGATTGACATTAAAGTTAGAAAGCCAACATTTTGCAGTAGACAACTTGCTATTCAGCTTTATACTTTTACCTTTAGCATCCATTTTATCATATTTGGCTGGAGTCGTCCAGTACAAGCCAGCATATCTCTTCTTGTTTATCAGTAGATATGGAAAGTAAACCTTCTCAAACTCTAACTTGATCGGCTTCAGAACACAAATATGATAAAAATACACCAATTTCAAGGCCCTTAGTGAAATACAACAGAAAGCCAGATATGAACTTGTTGGGGTGGGGTGGAAAGACATGTAAAACAGCTTGTATATTTAGCTGCTCTAACTTACTTTGGTGAAAGTTCCACTAATATGCTCAGCAGCCTCTCTTCCTAATTTCATTGCTTCTTCTACTGTAGCCACCCCAAATTGTACCATAACAGAATCTGTGTCCCCATATATAACCTGAAATGGAATTCAGAGTGGGTAAAATACACAAATACACTCTATTCAGATTATTATAAATATCAATATAGGTTCGACTTTAAATAACTGATATACATTAATCATGATTAAATATCTCAATAGTGGTTCAAGTGACTAGTTTGGGTTCAAGGTTGGATACCTCAGCATTGTGCTCATAGCCTCCCATCATGGTAAATTTATCCTCCACAAGTTTTCTGGTGTGCTCAATCATTTGGCGACCTTTCCATTGGAAAAAAAAGTGTGTTAATCACATGAATCAAGTCGAAAGAAAACAACTATAGTTTGCTGCATTCATAGGCTCGAACAGAGACAGCAATGAATAAAAAGGAGAAAAGGAAGAGGTGCCATTGGTGATGAGTTCACTGGCACCTACTTGATTCTCGGAAAGTTTAGAAGTGACGGTCTTAGTTAGAATACCATAGCTCGTGACACTTGAGGATATCTCTAGGCATGGCAATTGGCCAATTGTTGCTCCTGTAAAGCCATACACAGAATTCGCACTAATCTGAAAAGTACAAGAAACAAAGCACGCAAAGGAAAAACTAAGTCAATTTAATTGATAAAAAACTGAACCCTGACTCCTATATTAACAATAATTTTACCTTGAGGGCTAGTTGGCGGCCATCTAAAACAGCCTTCTCAAATGGATCTTTAGCCTCCTATTATTAGACAACACCATAACGAGGAAATCAAAGTAAGATAGGGATTGGAAAACAAAGGGAAATATAGGAACCAACAAATGTCGAACATTAAACCAAAAGAACCTTTAAATCTGCTTTTGCTCTTTTACGTGCAGCAATTAGTTCTTCAAGAATTTCAGGAAGAATTCCCTGAAATGGATAATGAAACACTTCATGAGTGACAATTTTGGTATTTATGGGAGAGTTCTTCAGGTGTTGAATGCCAAAAGTCAAAACCAACAAATCCATTTCACTATGTTTGACCTTTTGCAAGCTCGGTTTGACAAATGTTTCACCCGATGGAGTTTTATTGACACATTCTGGAGGCAGATTGAGCTTCTTAATATCTTCAGGAGTCACCTTCAACAGCAAAAAGAACAAACTTTAGAACAGCTTTATTGTGTCAAAACAAAAGAACTAAGGCTATGTGGGGTGGGTGGGGAATCAATGTGGTCATAGAAGTTAAAAAATAATTACCAGAGTGCAGTAGCACAAGTTATATGCCATCATTATCGATGGATATAAAGAAGCAAAATCCAATGTTGCAATTGGCTTTTCATAGAATCCCACTTTAGCATCCAAAACCTGAATTGTGTAAAACATCCAATAGAATAGATCAATGGACATGAAGAAAAACAACAAGCAATCGGACAAGCTTCATCAGAATTACTTAGAACCACGGGAAAAAAAGTTTCATCCAAATACGACAGAGGAAAATCGAGTATGCGTAAATCAGAAAATAAAAGACGGAGAAAGAGAGGAGACAGAAAAATAGCATGGATGAAGCTTGGGGAAGGCAAATAAGAATTTATGGTTGAATCACTGACTATAGAAAAATCAGGGAACTGACTGTAATGGTGCACTCTAGATATTTTTTCTATTATTATATCTTACCTGATCAAAAGAAAAATAATGACTTGATAACTATTACAATTCAGGCAATTAGAAAATATGTAGGCCATGGAGCTGCGACACTTACAGTTGCACCTTCATATGTTGATCCTGGATCTGATCCTGCCTGTTTAACATTTGGAAGAACAAGACCCTTTTCCTTAGACTTCCTCAGAAGTTGAGAAAGTACCTGACAGCAAGCAAAACCAATTAAGAATTCAGATATCAAGCTCAATCACTGCATCAATTGCCACTCATTCACATGTCAAAATACCTTAATACTCTGTCCCCTTGAAAGAAGAAAAGATATAGGAACACCAGTAACACGAGCCATTTCTACATAATTGTATATATACATTAGTTTGTCCAGAAGGCGCTGTGGGAGGTAAGCATCCTGCAATTCCATTGACAAAAGTACAAGTCCATCACTGTCTATCAGATATATAGTCTGTTAACCCTTACAGATAATAGCTAAGCTGCTAAATAAAAAATAACAGAACGTAGCAGATTCCTAAATCCTATAACGTATCAATAGGAGTTCAATGTTAAGATACAGGGCAAATCAAAATATGCAACCAAAATTTGACAAATCCTGAATGTTGCTCACAAGATAATATCAGGAGCACTAATCCAAAACTAAGATTTGAAGTTCGTTTTATATTTGATTTCAGATCTGAGAGAGACAAAAAGACTAATCATCCGGGAAGAATATTCAGAAAAATGACTAGCAAATTGAAGATGAAAAGACGAGATAGAAAGTGCTGTCGTAAATGTGCTTAAGCTAACCAGCACCTTCAAACAATAAACCGCAAGCCGCCTCCTTGTTTCTGAGTTTCCGTTTTGAAGGTCAGATATTATTGAATGGTGAACATCCTCTTTCTGCAAGAGAAATCAACAGTGACATTAGTGCAGTCATCCAAGTTGAATTTCTGCAATCAAGTCCCGTTCATCTCAAAGACGATTTCAATCATTACCTGCTCAGAAAGAAAGTGTGCTGAGACATTGTTTAATGAATAAGAACTCAGTTTATGATCCCTTTGCATAGCCTGAAAGCAATATACAGAATCTAGTCAAGGACACCCTAACTGTTGTTGATTGAAACTAACCACATAACAAAGAGACAGGACCTGAAGCAAATCAAACTGAACCCTGCCTACTAAAGCAACTTCTTTACTTTCTCGCGTTCCATACTGCCTGTAATCAAAGATTATTTTAATTAAGGAAACAGATGTTTACATATATGCATATAGGGTACAAGCATATGTAAATGCAAAAAGGTCACTGATCAATATGCATATAATATACTCTGCGTTCTCTACAAACCAAGAAATACAGTATTTACAATGAAAATGACATGTTCGAATCAAAAAAAGGGGAAGCAACTACTAGCCTAAGCCGTGTTAAATAGCTTTCAGGAAATGTGACTGACCTTTAACACACAAAAAAAACTGCATTTCAATGCATAAAGAGCGGAAGCAATCTCACTACTGCTCGACTAGCAACAGTTAACTTTCTATCATACCCTACCTTGATGAAAAAGTCGCATCTTTGACTGTAACCCTGCTGTTTCGAATGCGTCCCAATACTGGAAATTCTGATATGCCCAAGCTTTGAGCTCTCTTCAGTACAAAAGAATTTACTAAATGATCATAAACCGAACCTAGGGCAACGACTGGCTTACCATAGTGCATGGTCACCAAAATAGGAAAAGTTTGCAGCAAGAATAAATCAGACAAACATTTTTACCTCGATAAGATATGGCAAATCAAAATTACAGATATTATATCCAATAATAATATCTGGATCCACTTCAAGGACAAAATCCTGCAAGAAACAAGTCATTATCCTGAGATTTCAGTGTGAAACCAATAGCTCAAATTAGATTAATATATTATCTCATGTATCCAAGAGCAGTTTCAAGATGCCTCATACCCTCCAAGCTAGCAGCACTTCTTTTTCGGTATCAAAAGACATCACATCCGCACCAACTATAGGTGAGCATGATTTTAGTGTCATAACATTACGCACAAATGGTTGGCTCTCCCCCTGCAGGGTTACTAGGTTGGCCACCTATAACAAGACAAAATTTTACTTCAGACATGAATAATGATATAAAGAACACTCATAAAAATAATTCCACTGAACATGGCAGATAGGAGGACCAGCAACGAACCTGAATAACAGGATCATGAGTAGGCTCTGGAAAATGACCTTTACGTCCAGCACACTCAATATCGAAACTCAATATCCGGAAAGGAGCCATTTTTGAGAACTCTCCTTCTGGGGCATGGCTAACCAATGCTGAATATCTAGAAGTCGTAGTAAGAAAAAACTTGCTTCTAAAAGGACTGAAAATAAAAGAAACTAGAATATATATTCCCACATAAAAGGCAATTGACACCGGCAAGGATACAAGCAATCCACCTCCAATTGACAATAGGAGAAGCTCTTGACTGTCTTCTTATAGTTTCCAGCAGGCACTTCTATCCAATTTCCCCCAACAATCCCACAATCAACCATGAAACGGAGAGCAAAAACAACATTGCTTTCATATGTCATAAAGCTCTTCATGCCCAGGCCGTCTATCTGTATTCCTTTGTCAAGAATACCTACATGTTGAAACCCGAAATCCAAATGCAGCTATCAAAGATCATTCAGATCGCAAACCTCCTAAAATGGGCGGAATATACTTAAACAGCAATACAATAAGCAAAATGCAAAGGAGAATGACTTGGACAATTCTCTCTGTACAGTGGAAGTCTTTACCACGACAACCGGCAACCATTGCTGGCAAAGCAACAACAATCTTAAGAAAGGGATTGGAGTCCTGTTGTTGGTAGTACATGATGCTCTTCTTTTGTACCATCTCGATTCTCCTAATGAGTTTTGACACGTTACTATTCCGATTGAGCTCCCTCATTCTCCCCTGAAACGGATAAGCCCTCAGTATACATTAAGTGATTCAGAGACACAGATCAAAGGAAAATTACATTCAACATTGGCAAATCCCCATACCTCAAGGACCTGATGAAACCGAGATATGTCATCAGGACCCATTCCAGGAGGGCAACTGATGTAGAAATAGGGTTCGAATCCGTGAACATTGCAGCACACACTGTGACCTAACGAACATCACAAATGATCAAGTTACAGCCACGGTCTGACAGACAGGAAAATCTACTGAAAATTACCAAGGAACTCAATGAAAGCAGTTTTTATTTCTTAGTTCTTACTAACCTTCTGCTGTAACCCCAAAGATTCTAATAACTGGGGCAGGACCCGACCAATTACCCACCAATTCCTTAGGGCTCTCTCCAACTATATAATCCAGCTCCAGCTGCTGAAACGCTACTCGCATCACCAAAAGAACAAACATTTCAGCTATCAAAGCTTCTGAAATTTCCTCTTAACATCAGCTGGGGAACAACGATGAAGAGAAATGAGGGAGAAAACTTCTACTACTACTCACTGATGCTTTTGGACTGGGAAACGTAGTCGGCTGAGAGCGCAGGGCGCTTCCACTTCGCAAGGTGAGTGGCGAGCGACTCCTTACCCCACTCGCGGTTGATGTTCACTTCGTCTTCTGCTATTAGGGTTTCCTCGAGGAACACGTCCTCGTCGACGAAATCGTCCTCCGGTCCTATCGCCTGCACCTTCGCCGCGGGTGGCGGCTGCGCAGGCTTCGCCGGCGGTGGTCGCTTCTTGGCATTTCCGGCGCGGTTCATGATTTCAGTGAAGTGGTCAGTAGAAAATGTAGGAAACTATAACTTCTTCTTCCCCGATATCGATGATGTAAAAAGAAGAAGAGAGCGGGAGAGGGATGACTTCCCGCCTTTTTTTTCTGGCTCTTTCTGGTTTAGGGCTTTTGATTTGCTTGATTCGGGGATTGAATTGGGGCGAATGATCACGTGCATCGCATGTGCGGAACCTTTTTCCCTTTTTATCCTGAAAAAGTACATGTTCTACCTTAATGGCCACTAAACTATATAATTTGTACAAAATAGTGTCATTGATGATTGAACTATTGACAAAACGCCAATGTTGTTAATTTACCAAAAAAAAAAACAGTGACTATATCACTTTTTTTTTCAATCTTTCGGCATTATCGAACTAAGAGAATATGGCATATAAGCTCATAGAATCATAAGGCCAAGTCCAATGCAAAACCCCAAATATAGGGGCCTTGAACCCCAAATTTGGGGATTGAACCCCATTTTCCCTTCTTTTGCTCCAATGCAACAAACTCCATATTTGGGGTTCTTAATATTTCCAGTTTTTCCATTTATTGAAAAATGTACTTATCGAAACTTTAACATAATTTGTTCATGTTAATTTTTGTATAGTTCGTCATCATTTTTAAATACAAATTTTTCGATAGAATTTTGTTAAATTTCGAGAACGAATTTTTTTTAGCAAAAATTTATGGACCTAATTTGGGTTTACACACAACACTTGCTATCATAAAGCTTAAATATTACACATTTGCTATCGATGCTGTGATGCTTTGTAATTCAATTTAAGTTGTAGTTGGTGACAATTTATTTTGTAATTTACGAACACATTTTCATTTCAATAATATAATTTCCATTCTTAGTTCGATCTAATTTTTGTTTACACACAACTTAAAGATGACAAACATAAATTTTAAATGATAAAATGAATTCAATTTAAGTCATCTTAGAAAAAAGCCTAAATACACAAATATTAAACACAAATTAAATATAATCTAAAAAGCCTAAATACAAACATAAATTTAATTCCCCTTTCCCTAATTAATTCAATTTAATTCCCCTTACCCTAATTAATTACATTCAATTCTCTTAATCAATTTCCTTAATTAAATACATTAATTAACTAAACAGCAATTAAAAAAAAAACTGGCGGCACAGCCGCCGAGGCTGGCACCGCCCAGCCCCGGCGGTTGTGCCGCGCAGCAGACTCTCCTCCTCCATAAATGCCGAAATCGGCAAACCCTCCTCCATATATAGCGATCCAATTGCCGATCGCCTCCATAATTGCCGATTTTCGACATTTATTTCTCTGCGTTGGAACTCCAAAATCGGCATTAATGGCGACAACCCCATAAACGCAGGCTCCATTGGACTCAGCCTAATAATCGTTTGAATAACATTCCATGCATCGACTGGTGAGCCTATTTTGCATGTTGAACCAAACACTAAATACAGATGAAATGTAGTTTAATTTGAACGAAGTGATTGTTTTGTTACAAATCCATCCATGAAATAATTGTCTAACTAATGTTTTGTGAGAACAATTAGTTTAATGAGTATTATAACATAAATTGTAATAATATAGTGACCATTTGAAATATTCATCCTAAAAACATAACGAAGATTCGTCTCTGCAACAAACGTTGAGAATATGAAGCTCGTAAAATCATAATAATCGCTTGAATAGCATTTCATGCATCATCATAACGAGCATTTTAGTATGTTGAACCAAACACTAAATACAACATTAGACACACAAAAAAAAAGTCCAGTATGAACGAAGCGATTGTTTTGTTACGAATCACTTAGTCTAAAATAAGATAATTGTCTAAGTGACGTTTTTGTGAGAACGGTTAGTTTAGTGAGGTACTCTTAATGGATAACTTAATAATACAGTGACCATTTTTAAGAATTTACCCTGAAGACATAACGAAGTGTCGAAGACCGCCTCTGCATTCTGCAACGAACGTTGAGAGTATGAAGAAGCATCAGGTTAATGGGCATCTTCACGAACCCATCGTCTCCTTCCTTCACCAGAGCTCTACACATCAAGGACCGCTTTCTTCAAAGCTTCGATTCCCTCAAGCAGCTCAAGCATGTCCACTCCCAACTCATCCGCATCGGCCTCGACCAGGAGAACTATCTCCTCAACCTGCTACTCCGCTCTAGCTTCGACTTCAAAGACACCCACTACACCCGCCTCGTGTTCCACCAGACCCACGAACCCAACGTCTTCCTATGGAACACCATGGTTCGTGGGTTGGTCTCCATCGATTGCTTCAAGGACGCCATCGCCTCGTACGCTTCGATGAGAAGGGAAGGGTTCTCTCCCACAGGGTTCACTTTCCCCTTCGTTCTCAAGGCCTGCGCCAGGCTTTTGGATTTCCGGTTGGGGTTGAAGTTGCATTCCCAGGTTGTGAAATTGGGCTTCTCTTGTGACGTCTTCGTCAACACCAGCCTGGTGAGTTTGTACGCAAAGTGCGGGTATATTGAGGATGCCCTCAAGGTGTTCGACGATATTCCGAACAAAAATGTTGTGTCTTGCACTGCTATAATAACTGGGTTGATTGGGGTTGGCAAATGCAGGGAGGCGATTGACATGTTTCGGAAGTTGTTGGAGATGGATTTGGTCCCCGATAGTTTCACCCTTGTAAGGGTGCTTTCCGCTTGCGCTGTAATTGGTGATCTCAAGAATGGTGAGTGGATAGATAGGTACATATCCGAGACCGGAATGTCGAGGAATGTGTTCGTAACCACTTCGCTGGTGGATTTCCATGCTAAGTGTGGGAACATGGAGAGAGCACGGTTATTGTTCGATGAAATGGGTGAGAAGGATATAGTTTCATGGAGCACCATGATTCAGGGCTATGCTTCAAATGGGCTGCCCAAACAGGCACTGGAGCTTTTCCACAACATGTTGGACCATGGCCTGAAACCAGATTGCTACGCCATGGTTGGAGCTCTCAGCGCTTGCGCAAGGTTAGGAGCCTTAGAACTAGGTGAATGGGCCAGCAGTCTGATGAACATAGACGAGTTCTCCATCAATCCTGTTCTGGGCACTGCGCTAATCGACATGTATGCTAAATGCGGGAGCATGACTAAAGCCTATGACGTCTTCAAAGGAATCCGAGCCAAAGACAGAGTAGTTTGGAATGCTGAAATATCGGGTCTCGCCATGAATGGCCATATCCCTGCCGCATTTGCTGTATTCGGGCAGATGCAGAAGTATGGGATTCCACCTGACGGCAACACCTTCGTCGGCTTGCTTTGTGGCTGCACTCATGCTGGCCTAGTGAACGAAGGCCGTCAGTATTTCAACATCATGGTTAGAATTCTCTCCCTGGCTCCTACAATCGAGCACTACGGATGCATGGTGGATCTTCTGAGCCGTGCAGGGTTACTCGACGAAGCCCACCAGCTCATAAAAAGCATGCCAATGGAGGCAAATGCTGTCGTATGGGGATCCTTATTAGGCGGTTGCAGGCTGCACCGTGACACCCAATTGGCGGAACACGTCCTGAAGAAGCTCGTGGAACTAGAGCCTTGGAATGCTGGGAATTATGTCCAGTTGTCGAACATATATTCTGCAAGTCACAAGTGGGACGATGCCGAAAATGTGAGGTCGTTGATGGGCGAGAGAGGGATGACGAAACTGCGAGGGTGCAGTTGGATCGAAGTGTGCGGTATCGTTCACGAGTTTCTCGTGGGTGACACATCACATCCTTTATCGGAAGGCATCTACTCCAAGCTTTCCGAACTGGACAAGGATTTGAGAGCAGCGGGGTATGTTCCTACGACGGAGTATGTGCTTTTTGATATTGAAGACGAGGAGAAGGAGCATTTCCTCGGATGCCATAGCGAGAAGCTTGCTGTAGCTTTTGGGCTGATAAGCACTGGTCCAGCGGAAGTGATTCGAGTGGTGAAGAACCTGAGGGTATGTGGTGATTGCCATGAGGCTATTAAGCTGATTTCTAAGATTACTGGTAGGGAGATTATAGTTAGGGATACAAATCGGTTTCACTGCTTTTCCGGGGGGACCTGTTCTTGTAAAGATTACTGGTGAATTATAAGGTAGGATATCTTATGTTACCATCTCATGAGACATTTGTTAATCGGAGAAACCACTCACAGGTAATTAATTCTTAGCTTAACTTGTACCTAGCTGGTGTGTGAACAAGACAATGGCCGTCTGCAGATTTTTCATAATGGGCGGCCTAATCTTATGTGGACTTGCCCCAACTTGGAAGTTGGGAAGCTATACAATTGTGGCGACAGCTTACCTAGATCACAGCTTTCCCTTATACTCATTTTCCATTCCTTAATAAGTATTCTATGCGTCCCAAATTGTTGTTTCAGGGTTTGGGTTGTCGATTTTAGATGTATGAAACTGGTTGCTTTTTTCTTTTATGATCTTTAATAATATGATGATGCACAGGCTTACAACTGAAACGTTTTGTTTATGGAATGACATAGCTTGTTGATCCCCCTTTTATTCGTGGTCGTGGGTTAAAATGTTGGGAGTGCACAACTAATCAATTCTATCGATCAATGGTTGAAAGTTCATTAGGTAAGCTAAGGTCGCTCCTTCATTCTGGTCCTGCTGTTTAGTAGTCGTTGTTTGTTTCTTGTTTTCTTCTGGGATGGACTTTAGTTAGGTTAGTTTATTGATGTATCAATGCTGATTAAGATGGTTTTTGTTCTAGCTTGATTAGTTTGAAAATTCTTCAAGACTTGGCCGTTTTTGTTTCGTATTGATCTGCTCCTCCTAAGCTATAGTTACCTTTATTTATTCTTCTTAGCAACCTTTATATCGATTCATGGCTAAAAGCATAATCTACGGAGAGAAGGATGGATTCTTCAATGGAGATCAGCTTTCTTTCATCCAATTCTATTTTTGCAGGGCGCTCTCCAATGACTTCGTCTCTCCGTCACAAATCTAAAGCACTGACAAACCAAATAGCCCCGTCATCTTTGTGGAGAATTGACTTCTATGCATTACTGTGATGCTGAATGACCAGGGCATGCATAACTCTCTTCATTATGGTTCTCTTTGTTGTTGCTTTGCAGGGCTCGGTTCACTGATATCGTCCTTCTACGAGTAGAAGACAAGGGGGGTTTTTTTTTCTTCTCTCATGTCATCGGGGGTGTTTTCCTTATAGTTGATGTATCATCTTGTTTGCTAGTTTTGCAGGGGTCGCTTCACTGATGATGTCTTCCCATGAGAAAAGTTTTGTGATGCAATGGCTTTCCCTGGAAACATCATGAAAATAGTTCATAAGGGTTGCTTTAGGGTATTCCCCTTGGTTTCCATGTAGCGTCTTCTTGTGTAGCTTTGCCGGGATTGGAATGGAATTTGGATGATTCCCTCACTTGTATAGGAGTAATGGATTTTTGGTTCTCTGATATCTTGATTCTTGCTGTACAGATGTTACTTAGAGCATAGAATGCTGAATCATTGTACTGATGAGAGCTCTTGAAGTGTTCAGTGTTGTATAGCAAGTAATTGGAATGAGATCTCGACGACTCAGCCATTGTAATCGCGTTCTTGACCCAAAAGGATGGAACTTTCGCCTTATATATACCTGATGTGCCCTTAATGTCAGCCCTAACTTCTACCAACTTTTGTATCACCTTCTGTTTGCACATAAAAGTGTGTATTGTCTGTGTTTCTGTGGATGAATAGTCAAGAGGAGGCCTTTGCAAGTTGGAAGCTGTTGAAGGAGGCAATCCTGGTTATGGGAAGATTACATCTTATAGCTGAAATTTTTATGAAAGTAGTGAAGTTTACACAAAAGGGGAAATAAATGTAAGCCACACCCACAAGTTGGACAGATGCTGTCCCAACCACCAATCCTCTGACTTCCCTTTATCCACAACCTCTGGCAATCCAACTCCAACCAATGCAATCAAATTAAAGGTGGGGAAATCGAAAGGAGAAAAAGAAGTGAAATTTGAGGACAGAATCTATAAGATCTCTTGGCATATGGCAAAAATAAAAAGACACAGTGGATTAATATATAATATTCCAGAGCAACATTATAGCATCAGAGTCAGCCACTCATTAACAAATAAGCAAAGACAAAATCATTTATAGGGTTCTTTGCTTCCTTCTTCTTCTTCTTCTTCTTCTTCTTCTTGTTGGCTGAAATGGCTACTTTGGTGAAGCTTGTTCAGCCACCATGTCCAAAGGGTTTTACCCGCCAGCCATGGCAGCAGCAGCAGCAGCAGCAGCAGGCCAAGTTTTGTGAGTTGCAGAGGTTCAGGCTGATAAACCCTATGAAAGCTGCAGCACAAAGCTCATCTCCTTCATCTGTGAAAGTTTCTCAAATCAAGGAGAATCTTTATCAAGCACTCCAGGGTATGTAGTAATCTCCACCTTATCCTTTCAATCTTTTTTCCGCCATTTTCTGTCCTTCATTTCAAAATGATTCAAATATGTGAATGTGGAAACAATCCCAATAAGGGATTAACAGAGGGATATTTGGGACAACATCTGGGAAGAAGTCTGAGATTCAGGAGCTGGTGGAGCAGCTGGAATCCCAGAACCCAACTCCAGATCCCACTCTCAATCTTCACAAGGTAAATACAATATACTTTGGACCAATCGCTGTCTTAGTCCCTATAATATGATGTTTTACCAATTATGTCCTTTTATTGTGAACTTAACAAATAAGTCCATGGAACATAGAAAATTATTGAGTGCCATAGTTTCAAATGATGATTTTGTGGGGATTCTGAATCTTTTTTGGAAAGGTGGATGGATGTTGGAAGCTTATATACAGCACAATCAGCATAATGGGTGCAAAGAGAACAAAACTAGGGTTGAGAGATTTCATCACCTTGGGTGACCTCTTCCAGATCATTAATGTTGCCGAGGTAGATATATCCTGAACACTAGTTCTTGACGTGATATCAGATTTTAGCTCAACACCACCAAGTCAAACAGCTGATTTCTTTTCTGTGTTTTCCAACTGTGATTGGAGAGCAAAGCAGTGAATGTGATGAAGTTCAATGTGAAGGGGCTGAACCTGTTGAATGGTCAGCTGGCTATTGTAGCCTCCTTCAACATTGATTCCAAATCAGTTATGATCCCCCCTTTTCCACTCTCTTTGCATCACTTCTTCTTCCTCTGAAGGACAACATTCTGATATGATCCTCTCTTTTCTTTGTGCTGGCAGAGAGTTACAATTACATACAGAGAATCAACCATAACACCTGACCAGCTGATGAATGTGTTCCAGAAGAACTATGACCTCCTTCTCAGCATCTTCAACCCCGAGGGCTGGCTCGAGCTAACGTATCCTTGATTTTCCTGAACATGGAAGCAAAAAAGTTCACTTCTTTTTTTCTGACAGTTATAAAGTGTTTTACTGTGATACTGTAGCTTGTTCTGTGTTTGGTTGATTCAGTGAACTTCTGGGTTGACCTTAATCTTTTGGGAACAGATATGTTGATGATGAGATGAGGATAGGAAGGGATCAAAAGGGCAATATCTTTGTCTTGGAGAGATCTGAAGAACGAATTGATTTGTAACACTGGTTTTGCTTAGCAAGTTGGATCTCCATTCATGGCTAATTTTCAGAAGGTTATACATTACAATAGACACATATTACATTGATGTCCACTCATTTGTATAGAACATTTTTGTTGTTCAATGGAATGGAAGCTATTGTTGCTGAGCTCTTACTGCATTGATGCTTGGAAAGACTTGTATATTGATTATGTGTGAAAGAACTCCTTTGAGAAACATTTGAGTATTTGAGCAGCTTATCAGTCCAAGGGTTCATTTTGTAAGGTTATAGAATTTTAGAGACCAAAATGGGACCAAGGGTTAACGCATTTATCCACCGCGAACAACGGTGACTAATCTTGTCGTATGAGTGATTGAACAAAGCTTTGTCACTATGATTGAACGATAGTGCACATAACGATCCACAAAAGTGAGTATTACCTCATAATCGATTTAGGAAATGATCAACCAACAAAAAATTAATCGTAATCTCCTAATTAATTTAGGAGATTGATCAATCATGTCACCTATATTCACCGTGATTAATGAAATGCACATACATAAAGTGAGTTTTAGTTTCGTCAATTAAGATCGAACCCTAATCTCATAATCAATTTAGCATCATGTCACCTATATTCACCGTGGTTATTAACTAAGATCGAAACAGAATCTCATAATCGATTTAGGAAATGATAAACCAACAAAAAATTAATCGTAATCTCGTAATTAATTTAGGAGATTGATCAACCATCATGTCTCCTATATTCATCGTGATTGAATGAAACGCACATACACAAAGTGAGTTTTAGTCTCGTCAATTAAAATCGAACTCTAATCTCATAATCAATTTAGCATATATTTAACCATGATGTCACCTCTATTCACCTTTCAATAACAGATAATTGAAAGAAATGCACGTAACATTTCATAAAGTGAGTTTTTTAGTCTCACCAACTAAAATCAAACCCTAATCATATAATCAATTTATGAGATGCTCAACCATCATGTCACCTCTATTCACCTTTCCATCACGGATTACGATTAGGCCCACAAATTAAAATTGCTTGCAAATCAGCGGGTCGGCCGACAGAACCCGGCCCTAACCCGAGCTTGTTACCCACCCGACTCGATGATCCACTTTGCTGAAATTTGGATCTTTTTCTAACCCGGATCCCGGAGGCGGAAAACCAAGTGCGAGATGCAGCTGAGATCCATTCCCCCGCTCGAAACTGTAAAACCTCAGTAAACCCTTCCCATCGTTCCGCCCTCCAAAAACTCTCCGGCCACCGCCGTCGTCGATTCAAACAATGATCACCAGAAGCCGGGGACTGCTATCTTCTCTCCTCTCATCGACATCCCTTCTCGCCAACGCGAAACCCACTTCGAGTCCAATCCCATTCCCGCCATTTCAATCCTTTCAACGCCCATCCTTCTTCCATGGCGCTAATGGGGCATCTGGGTTTCTGGGTTCCCATCGAAATTACAGCTTGTTGAGCTTGAATGACTTGAGGGACAACATACCCAGGAAGCAGAAGACCAGAAAGGGGCGCGGGATTGGGTCAGGGAAGGGGAAGACTGCTGGGAGAGGTCACAAGGGACAGAAAGCTAGAGGGACTCATAAGTTTGGATTCGAAGGTGGGCAGACGCCGATGCGCCGCCGTCTCCCCAAGAGAGGGTTTAAGAATCCATTTAGCCTCACTTTCCAGGTATTCCTTCGATTGATTGGTCAGTTTATTTCTCCAGCTGCCCAATTTCATTTGCAACCTTGAATCGCGGCAAATTCTAGGATACAGAATGCTGGGTGGAACAAGGAAGTTTAAGGCTTGCTCTAGACTTCAAATGCATGTTTTTGCTTCTTCTTTAAAGGAAAGAGGGATTGGAAAGCTCACATTTTTAATCCCAATATGATAAATATTTTGGAATGCTGCAATTTTTAGAGGTTATCAGCTCCATTGGGTTTGGTGTTGGCTGTGAATATGCCCATCTGTGATGTTGTGAGTTATATAGAAGGCTGCAGTTGGTAGGGTTTATCAGTTCCATTGGGTTTGGTTTTGGCTTGTGAAGTTTCATCCATTAATGGGTTTATATTGTGGCCACATAAACTTCTGGTTTTCGGCATTGATGAAATGTGAATCTTCTTCCATGTCAGTTGCTATATCCGATTCTTATTCAACTTTAAGTTTTGCTCTTCCAGTTACCAACTCTGTTCATATTTTATCCAAACACAAAGTGCCCCTTCATCTCTGTTGGCATCTTAGCAGTTGAATTTCCATCCGTCGAATTGGAGAGGAACGCATCACATGTGGTAGTTACCCTTTGAATGAAGCCTAGAACGTTACCAAATATCAACTCCAGAGCTATCCAACTTTTAACCCTCATTGCCCTCCTAAAGCCTTTGTCATTCATACTACTTTCCAGAATATACAACGTTTCTCGTGTTGGTACCTTATCTTTGGAGGAAGCTTGATTGTATTTCACCTCACTCTTACTAGTTGAGAAGAATGGTTATTTCTCCTACTCATTACCGTTGCTAGTTCAAAGTGGAGATATAATCATTTTCTAGCTAGATGGAGAAAATTGCCCACGTTGTTTCTTTCTTTGCATCACTGAATTGTCACCAGTCAGAAAGAAGTACTATAACATATTGACATCACCAATTGTGAGACCTAGAATTCTTACTTGTAATTTTGGGACTGTCTTCCTACTCCTTTCTCCCAATTCACTGGTCTATCTTTTGATTTCTATATTTTATTTGGCAGCCATGTGGCCTGGGAAAGATTGCAAGGCTTATAAATGCTGGGAAGATAGATTCTCATGAATTGATCACAATGAAGACACTCAAGGTAGTTGCAAAGCTTTGCCTAACTCCCACTTTTCTCTACATGCATAAAATGTGGTGGCATTTGTGTTGATGGTTTGTAATGGTTATAATAGGATACTGGAGCCATAGGAAAGCAGATAGAAGATGGAGTAAGACTCATGGGACGTGGCTGTGAGCACATTGTATGGCCGATCCATATAGAGGTGAATCTCATTACAATTTTTTTCTTTTTGTTTGTATATGTACATTTAGGATGAACTGCTGTGTAGTTAAAATTGGCAAAACTTCTCAAGGTTTAAGGTGAATCGCAGGTTGCATTTGTTTGCAAACATCATGATGAATTTTACATTAAGGAAGTAACAGGCATATGGAATGTGTTCATAGGCTTGCTTCTGTTAGACTTGATCCTGAATTTCCTGGTTAGATAACTTGACTAGCTGCCAAGCTCAGAATATCTTGCGGTCAGTTTGGAATGACTAACACGATTGTTGACCTTAATTGCTGACATGGATGACCCGTTTTAACTCATGCCGGATCCAAATCAAACCCCATTACTCAACCCGATTTCAAGCCTCATTGCCCAAAATCACCATAATCATTTCCCCCTTGCCGGACAGCTCATTAGAGAGTCTTAGTGACCTATTAATTTCTAACTTGGATGAGGTGACACACTGATCTATAAAATTTGGCAAAAAGCTTGCAGAAATGGAGATGATTGTCATAGTTGTTTGATATGTATTCGAGAACTATCAGTGGTTATCATTATAACTCCTATAGTCACTGTAAATCTATTCATTGACCTAATTCCTTGAGTACATGGGTTATCATCTTTGATCTAGTGGATGGATGGCTTATGCGGAAGTGAACTTCACTGCCGTCAACCTATGTTTGCAGGTGTCAAGGACGACTGTTAGAGCCAAGGCAGCAGTCGAAGCAGCTGGAGGATCGGTCCGACGGGTGCACTACAACAAGTTGGGGTTGCGAGCACTGCTGAAACCAGAGTGGTTCGAGAAGAAGGGAAGGCTTCTGCCCAGGCCAGCTAGACCTCCTCCAAAGTTGAAGCACAAAGTTGATAGCATTGGCCGATTGCCCGCGCCAACCAAACCAATCCCATTTTACATCGTGGAAAATGAAGGCGACGAGAAGGTGGTGGGGGCAGAAGAATCTCCCCAGCTCACTGATTGATCAATCATCTTTTGGTTCGCTTCTTTTTCTCCCCATTTTTTGGTTAGGAGAGCTGTTGCTGGAAATAATAGCCATCGTTCACAAAAGCTGCACTTTTTGATTACTGTGTGTGCCCCTTAGTGATAACTGATAATCATCCTGGATGTTTTAGAGAAAAAGGACACTCCAAAGCGTTCGTTTTGCTTCTCAACCATCCTTTCAGTTTTTCCATTCCAATGCTTCATCCTGTTCTTTGGTTGTGCTTTTCCTGATCGTTTTCGGTCGTTGTAGGTGGTCACATCGGTTTGTTGATCAAGATAGATGACGTCTTGTTGCGAATTAGATCATTGAGTCTAACTAGTTAATGCTAAAAAAATCGTTAAAATTTACAAGGTTTAAGATTTTTGTTGATTAGCAAAAATTACTACAAGAGGTTAATAAATAAGGTGACTAACAATTGTTTGAGGTGCATAATACTGAGTGGTCGGATCAAGACGAATAGCAGGTTACTAATGATCGGGAACATCAAGAGTTAGGGTCAAGTCGTTAGTGGTTCTAACTTCAAAAACAGAAATTTTGCACAAAAAAGACATTAAAAGTAACCAAATAATAATTGAGTAAAAATTTAGGGATAGTTTGTAAGTTGCGGATTGTTAAATAGATGTATTGTTATGAATGCATGTATAATATTATACATGTATTATCGAATTTGATGCATTGTAGAATATAACATTTGGTATGTATGATTGTGTATGTCACAATAGCTAAAGGTTGAGACAAAACTATCTTAACAAAAGGTTGAGATATAACAATCACTCCTTTTGAGTGATAGTTTATGTCACATCACAGAAACAATCCATTTATTATTTCTTGCTAAAAACAATAATAAAAACGATGCATTCTAAACAATACATGTATAGTAACAATCTCAACAAAACAATCGCAACTTCCAAACGACCTCTTTATCAATATTTATAAGACATACTAAAATTGTAAGTAAACTAATCAAGATTTCAATGCAATTAAATCATTGTTGTCAAAACCAGTAAGATATCGGTCGGGACAATCAGATACAACCGGTATTTGCAAAAATTTAGTTGGAAACCCCACGGATATGAAAAGGTAGTCAAAACGAAAAACAAAATTGTCAAAATCGAGAAAACAAGTGGTACGAAATAATAAACCAACATATGATTTCCTCTTTACTCACATGGTTTGTGAAAACTGAATAAATCTATAGATAAACTTGTCGTACCCTGATCAGATCATGTCACTTGTGAAACCGACGTAATGGTTTAACCGGTTTGCCTACCTCAAATTAAAGAGTGTCTTTTAGTTGAGCCGAGCGAACCAAAGAAGTTATATTTGTAACCCACTTGAGCGAAATCGAAGAGAAACCCGACCCATTTATCACACTCTCTTCAATCTATCGACCTTGGTGGAAAGAAAAACTACAAATCGATCCAAAAACAAAAGCAAGACTACAAGGAAAGCAACACCTCAGAAACTGAACTGTTTAGAGCAAATACCAAACATGGCGGCGGCGGCGACGACGACGACGGATGAGAGATCACCGGAGCAGCAACCGGAAGAGAACCCACCACCTCCGCAATCTGCCGAGAATCCGCCTTTTCCCCAACCCTCTGAAACCCTAAGTCTAAATGATGTCCCCGACTCACAAGACAACGACGATTCAAATCAAGAAGATTTAACAGGCGCAGCGCCCGCGATTTCTTTCTCGCCCACATCGGCCACCTCTGCCCGCCGCGGTGGCGGCGGTTCAAAGCGGAACAAGAGCAAGCGAATAATTGCGTCTAGGTTGAAGAAAATTCAGAAGAAGCTCGAGGCTCTCAACGAAAACCTCAAACTCATTCCCTTCAAGCCGGCGAAAGATCTCGACTTCGATTCTCACGAGGGGCTTCTCAAGCGGCTGGGCCTGTGGGATTTCGTGAAGCTCCAGTTCGACCCCAACATCCGCACCGATCTCGTGGCGCAGTTGATCGCCAGTTACGATCCGCAGCAGCGCGGTAGCTACGTCAACGAGGTCCGGGTCAAGGTCAACCGCGCCGATTTGGCTCGCGCGCTCAAGCTGCCGACCAAGAAGGAGAAGGTTTCATCCTCGTCGGAGAGTTCTGCGGCGGCAGGGGAGGTGAAAGAGGGTGAAGAAGCTATTGCGTTCGTTGACGAGCTGGTCTCGACTTGGATGCTGTTGCACGACGACGATACGTGGTTGATGCCGGTGGAGATTCACAATATGATCAGGACGATTAAAGATGGCAACTTTGAGAGAATGGATTGGGCTGGGTTGATTTGGTATATGGTTGAGAAGGAGCTGTCGGCTGCTCCCAATCTAGGTAATTGTTACTACGCCTCGCACTTGCAGTGTTTGATAAAATCCCAGAAAGAAAATATGTTGAAGGAAGACGATGCTTGTTCTAGAAAGGAGCTTGAGTTTAAGGAAGATATGATACAAGAGGAAGAGGAGGAAGAAGAGGAAGTGTCGGTGAAACCAAGCGAGGAAGTGCAGCATGTGGTGGTGGTGGTGGCGAAGTCAGGAGAGGAGGAGGCGTCGGTGAAACCAAACGATGAAGTGCAGCATGTTGTGGTGGTGGCAAAGTCAGAAGAGGGCAGCATTCAGTTGAGCTTGGGAGGTTTGGATAATGCTGCCGCTGGGGAAGATGGTGAAGCTAAAGCTGAAAAGGCCGGCAATGAGGATGCTGTGCCCCAGCAACAAGAACAGGAGGCAATGGTTTTTGAGGAGAGTAAAGTGGTAGTTGAAGAAGAACAGGGGCAGTGGTTGAATAGCAGTGTGAATGAGAATTTTCTACAGCATTGCAGCAATATGAAAGCCGATGATGACATGGAATGTGAAGTGGAGAGGAAGCAAGAAGTGGAAGTAGATGATGATGCAATGAAAGAGCTAGAGCAAGGAGAAGAGGTTGATGTTGAGGAGCCAGTTGAAGAAATGGATTTCGACTGCACATCCCAAGAGCATGATGCAATGGGCGGTTTAGCTTCCGAGAACCTTCTCGGATCTATGGAATTAGCACAAGATCCCCTCACTTCAGATATGCAGCAGCTTCATGCTGACCTCTCTTCGGGGGAATTTCTTGCAGCATCTAGGATTGACATCGAGGCTAACCCTGGCAATTCCTCACATTTTGGTACTGGGAATGATCTTAAGAGGGACATTGCGCATCTTGATGATGAAGATGATGATGATGACGACGATAATGATATCCCTCATCATGCATTTGATAAGAGAATGAGGACTGATGATGCGCCATGGGAGGGGAAGACTTCCTCGGAAACTGGCATGTTGATTGGACAAATGCAACATTGGTTGGAAAAGCTGAGGGTTGCCCAAATGGAAAAAGACCAGTTGTATCAGGAGCAGAGTTTAAACCAGCAGATGTTACTTAATGAGTTGCAAAGTCGTGATGACACAATCCAGCACCTTCATAAGTTGAGGTATGAGGAGCAACAGAAGAGCCAGATTGAAGTTTACAAGCTCGAACGTGAATTGTGTATGATGGGCAATCTCTTGGAAGGGTATAGAAGGGCTTTGAAGGAGACGCATAAAGCATTTTCTGAATACAGAGCGAAATTCCCATCACACGAAGAACCACTCTACAAGGATGCTGGCCCTGGTGGTCTTGTTCTGACTGCTGCAGAATTGAAGAAGCAAAGATTGAGGGAAGAGGAAGAAGAAAGGTTGGCACGTTTGTTTATTGAGAAGAAGCTTAAAGAATTTGAGGAGGAATGGGTTGGCAAGTTTGAAGGATACAAAGACGGGATTGAACTGTTGGGAGATAGGTTGTTGGGTGGCGAGAAGAATGTCAAGCTTTTGATGGAAATGCATTTGAAGAAGCAGAAGCCCCCTCAGATTTCTGAATCTACTCCTACCGAGTAGCTAATTGTCACATCTGTCGGATGGTTCGTTTGATTTCACTCTCTATGTAGGGTGTGGTTGTGTCAATGGTTCTAACTAGGAAATATGCTAATTGGTGTTTTATGGTACTGTGGTCGTAGCAGTTGATTTGTTACAATGGAGTGTTTATGTATGCAGGGGTAGAAAGTTGTATGAATCTCTTCTAGCCAGTCTTTTTGATGTTCGACTCTCTTTCTTGTTCCCACTACTTGGTATGTCTGAATTTTGCCAGAGCATGTTTACTAATCTTATAGTTGATCTGGTGTGCTTCCTTGAGTGCTTCTTTCATATCCCTATTGAGCGATGCAAAATCTTATCATTCCCATGGTTCAGGCTACAGCTTTTGTAGGCGGACCAGATAACATCCTAATTTTTGTGTTACCAGTTTGGTCACTTCAGTCTCCAGTCTGTTCTTGTTGACATCTTATGTCTGCAAATCCCAAGTACTGGTCTTTGATTGGAGGCTTTCCTCACTCTGCTCATTTATATCATGGTCGAGTTATTTTTCTTTTCGGCGGTTCTCCGGAACTTCTAAGCTTTGAAGATTCACAGCTTCAGTCAGAGGGTTATATGAATTAATGTGTTTCCTTTGGTGGTCTGGCTTCGCGTCACTTTGACAGAATTGTGAAACTAGACCATGATTAACTGATGCAGTAAGATGAGAGCTCTTGCAGGGTTCTACTTGACCCAGTTTTGATTCCGAGTTGATCACTGATAAGAAAGTTAGTTCCCATTATAGTGAAACTTTTACGCTGCAGATGCCAATCTTCATGCTCTTCTTTTGCCTGCCTTGATGATGATATGATGGTGGCAAAGCCAGCTAGGCCACCTCCAAAGTTGATAGCAGTGTTCGATTGGCCGAAAATGAAGGCGATGTGAGGCAGTGGCTGGTGGGGGCTGAAGAATCTCCCCAGCTCATTTTGCTTGATCATCTTTTAGCCTACTTTTTTTGTTCTTTGCCAATCTTTTCTGGTTAGGAGGGTTGTCCCAAGAGAGAAAAGCCACCATTCACAAAAGCTGTGTTCATTGATCGCTGTGTGTGCCCTTTAGTGGTGATGTCATTCAGCATGAACTTCGGGTTGGGTTGAGTTAGGTTGGGCGAGCCGGTTTGCTGACCAAGATAGTCTTGGTTGGATCGTTACCAATCAAAGGTTGCTAGCCAAAGTCAGTCAAAGTTGTTAAGGAGTGCGGCTGCAAACGAGCCGAGTCGAGTCGAGTTTTTGCTTAGCTTGAGTTGGGCTCGTTTATTAATTTTTCAGCTCTAACTCGAATTTTGATAATCCAGCTCGAGCTCGGCTTGAATAAAAATAATCTAGCTCGAGCTCGACTCTGTAGAGCTTGATAAATTCTCCTTAACATAGCTTGTCAAGCTGAGTACGAGCTCGGCTCAAGATGAACTCGATTTAAAATCATTTTTGCTGGAAAAATGTATAAACATAAGAATTTAAATGATAGAAAGAACACTAGAAACTATAAATAACATATAAATTTCATACACATCTGTATTAGAAGGCAATGTTCATGTTTAAAAGAGTAATTCATCCGTCCCCAAGCTCAAAACAAGGCAGCTCGCGAGCTTAGCTCGACAAGCCACCGAATCAAGCTAGCTCGCGAGCTTATCAAGCTGAGCAAGGTCTAGCTCAGGCTTGGCTCGTTAACTAACGAGTTGGCTCGCGAGCCGGCTTGTTAAATAGCGAGTCGAGTGTCGAACGAGTTTTTTCCGATTCGAACGCCGAGTTGCTCGCGAGGGGCTTGGCTCATTTGCAGCCCTATGTGCGGGTTATGATTCGATCAGTGTAATGATGTGAGTGATTTGACTTGATTTCACTCAAGCAATACACAAAATCCTTATCATCAAGCGTCTACAGATGGGGAGAACATGATCATAAAACTCCTCCAACCAGACGTGGCCGTTTATACTGAGTTGGTCACGATTTTTCTACCCAATCTATTATTATTCTACTTGATGATGGATCTTATCATTCACAAGTCTGTAGGAACCATCATGAAAATTTATGAAGATTGCTCATGTTAGTTTGAGTCGAGTCCTATTGCGCTGTAGATCAGATCAAGCTAACTATAGCTCAAAGCGTGTCGATTCATTAACACTTGCACGTCATAGATGGTTTTGCTGAAGAAAACATCACGAGTTCACCAATGCTGGTACGACTAGGTCTTGGACAGGCAATCACCATACACAATGTTGATAGTCGACACGAGTCGAGAACAGTTGCAAGATGGATTTTAACTAATTCTGTTACAGAAGAACCCGAGTAGTCACGAGATACGAGTTTCAACAAAACAGATGGTCATTTGGCTAAGAAACTAACATGAGCATTGAAGTAGGTGATATTAAGCAAAAAGGTTTTGGAATGACTTTCACCTTCTTGCTTACAGAAACAGAGAATCCATATGGCAAAACTCAATCCCAATAATAAATATGGTTCCATACTGTTTAATGACCGCAACCTGCTAGTTATAATAAAAATCTTCGCTCATACAAATAACTATTAACATTGATCTTCCCCCAAAAGGTGAAAACCAAGAAAAGATGACCAAAAAAACCTTCAAATATCTCAAAGCAACCAAACCTCAATAGAGAACCAGGGGAAAAAACCCGACACATCACAAACCTCACTCTCATCAACCTATCGACACCCCTACATGAGATAGAAAAGACTACAAAGCGCAGCAACTTCAGAAACTAGGACTGTTTTGAGCAACGAAAATCGAGCTGAAGTAGCTGCTGCGAAGCAAATACACCAAACCTGACTCGAGTTCACACCGACATTCGATAAAAAGCAAAAGCCAAATGTAGTAACAAGGACTCATCAACCCACTTCTGAGGAGCTTAGAAGCACTTCCTGTGGACGATGGACGGGCCGGATTCGTCGTACTCGGACTTCGAGATCCACATCTGCAATAAGTTAACAAAACATGTCAGCATTGTGTCAAAATGCCACCATTCTGGAAGTGTATGGGAAAGTATAATGCAGAGTGAGAGAAGAAGGTTTTTACCTGCTGGAAGGTGCTGAGAGATGCGAGGATGGACCCTCCGATCCAGACACTGTATTTCCTCTCAGGCGGTGCCACAACCTTGATCTTCATGCTGCTGGGAGCAAGAGCAGTGATCTCTTTGCTCATACGGTCAGCGATGCCAGGGAACATGGTAGACCCACCACTGAGCACGATGTTACCATAGAGATCCTTCCTGATATCCACGTCACACTTCATGATGGAGTTGTAAGTAGTCTCATGGATACCAGCAGCTTCCATTCCGATAAGGGATGGCTGGAAGAGAACCTCTGGGCAACGGAATCTCTCAGCTCCGATGGTGATGACCTGGCCATCAGGAAGCTCGTAGTTCTTCTCGACTGACGAGCTGCTCTTTGCTGTCTCAAGCTCTTGCTCGTAGTCAAGGGCCACATAGGCGAGCTTCTCCTTCATGTCACGGACAATTTCCCGTTCGGCAGTGGTGGTGAACATGTAACCTCTCTCTGTGAGGATCTTCATCAGTGAATCGGTGAGATCACGACCGGCAAGATCCAAACGGAGAATGGCATGTGGCAGAGCATAACCCTCATAGATTGGAACAGTGTGACTCACACCATCACCAGAATCCAACACGATACCTGTTCAAACACCAAAAATACCCAACAATTAATATTAGTTGCCCATAATTATCAAATGAATGGATTAACAGCATGATTCAACTCCTTAATCTCTAATCAGTTACTAACCGGTAGTACGACCACTGGCGTAGAGGGAGAGGACGGCCTGGATGGCAACATACATGGCAGGGACATTGAATGTCTCGAACATGATCTGGGTCATCTTCTCTCTGTTGGCCTTTGGGTTAAGAGGGGCCTCCGTCAAAAGTACCGGGTGCTCCTCAGGTGCAACACGAAGCTCGTTGTAGAAGGTGTGATGCCAAATCTTTTCCATGTCATCCCAGTTGCTGACGATACCGTGCTCAATTGGGTACTTCAAGGTCAAGATACCTCTTTTAGATTGAGCCTCATCACCAACATAAGCGTCCTTCTGACCCATCCCAACCATAACTCCAGTGTGCCTAGGTCTGCCAACAATACTGGGGAAGACTGCCCTTGGTGCATCATCACCAGCAAAGCCAGCCTGCAAGTAGTGTGATTTAGAATATGAATTTCATCAACACACTCAAGCAACAAACACCATCATAGTTTTAAGGGACGAAACCGATGACTAACCTTGACCATCCCGGTTCCATTGTCACAGACAAGGGGCTGAATTTCCTCACCGTCGGCCATCTTTTATTGTACTGCAAGAGAAATGAAATCGTAAGTGAAAGTGAGACACACATTCCATCGTCACCACATACCAACAAAGGAATGCACAACAAAAAGCTTTGATCTGCATTTCAAATCCACAACGCCAATGGTAAAGTAGGAAGACCCAAAATTTAGACTGGAAATGATGAGATCCAAGGAAGGGATCACCAGATCAAGCATTGAAAGCAAACTAACAGGGATCTAAAAACCACCCACCAACTTAAGATCTCACATTCAACCAAAGATCAAATCTGAGCATCCGTGTATTACATTACAATCCATACGAAGCAACAACTTCAATCCAATAGCTGGACGTGCCACCAGAACTTCATAGCTCGTATGTCAACACAAAGCAATTCAACTAAAATTGCAACCAATCATATCAAACAATAAGCGTGTTATAAGTTGACTCCTAAAGGCCATCACAGAACAACTCGAAGCAGCCACCAGCAAAGCTCAACACGAGATCGGAGCTCCGAAAGCAAACAGAAGCAAGATTCGGCAACTAAAGCTATCCTTTTCACTGTCTGCTTGTCGTATCCTTTCAACATCCACCCACTTCCCGATCGAGACAACACAGCAGCTCAAAATCACAAGATCGAGCTAAAAAAAATCGATACTCAGATCGAATCGCTACTAGGACAAGAACCCGATCTACAGATTCAAACCAGCAAG